CAGTACAACATTTCCAGCATGCACAGGAAAATCCCCTGCTCCCTAATACCTGTCAATCACAGAGCACGGAAATCTGCAGTATAGAGAATGAGGCAAAATGTACGCTTAGAATCTTTAAATATTTCAAGACAACACAGCCTCACTCAAAACATGACTCATGTAGCTGGGCAGCCAAGAATTGGAATGCTGAAACTGTTTCATAAAACTATTGCCCAAATATTGCCACAGCATACTTCTGTTTTTTTTTTTTTATCTTAATAAAATACTCCAAGAAAACCATTTTGCCAGTGATGCTGGCAGGTGATAGTTTCTTTAATATAAAATATAGTGTTCTATTTCCAACTGGCAGGTGATAGTTTCTTTAATATAAAACATAGTGTTCTATTCCCAACTGACAGGTGATAGTTTCTTTAATATAAAATTTAGTGTTCTATTTCCAACTGGCAGGTGATAGTTTCTTTAATATAAAACATAATGTTCTATTCCCAACTGGCAGGTGATAGTTTCTTTAATATAAAACATAATGTTCTATTCCCAACTGGCAGGTGATAGTTTCTTTAATTTAAAACATAGTGTTCTATTCCCAACTGACAGGTGATAGTTTCTTTAATATAAAATTTAGTGTTCTATTTCCAACTGGCAGGTGATAGTTTCTTTAATATAAAATTTAGTGTTCTATTTCCAACTGGCAGGTGATAGTTTCTTTAATATAAAATATAGTGTTATATTCCCAACTGGCAGGTGATAGTTTCTTTAATATAAAATATAGTGTTCTATTTCCAACTGGCAGGTGATAGTTTCTTTAATATAAAATATAGTGTTATATTCCCAACTGGCAGGTGATAGTTTCTTTAATATAAAATATAGTGTTCTATTTCCAACTGGCAGGTGATAGTTTCTTTAATATAAAATATAGTGTTATATTCCCAACTGGCAGGTGATAGTTTCTTTAATATAAAATATAGTGTTATATTCCCAACTGGCAGGTGATAGTTTCTTTAATATAAAATATAGTGTTATATTCCCAACTGGCAGGTGATAGTTTCTTTAATATAAAATATAGTGTTATATTCCCAACTGGCAGGTGATAGTTTCTTTAATATAAAATATAGTGTTCTTTTCCTAAAGTCTGTTCAGTCTCAAGGACAGATGGTTTAAGTGCGTCAGTTTAAGTGATGATTAAACTGTAAAAGAACTTTTCTTTCTCTTGTTAGCATTCACTCACTTTAAACTCCAGTTGAAAATTCTGGTTGATTGTCCACTTCTAGACTGTTCCTTGCCTCTCAGAATGGATGCATTCTGACTTCAGAGGAAGAGTATATTCTTTTCCCCAAAATGAGGTCCCAGAATTATTAAGGGGAGATAGACAGATGGTGGAACATCATGGAAAGAAAAGGAACACAGTATGAAATTTCAGTTCTATATATTTTCTACACATTCACATAATTCCATGATTTAGGCGACCCTGTTATGTGTTTGTAAAACCCAGAAAGGTGAAAACAATGTTTTCTATCCACCATTACAAATTCATCAGAGTTTATTATAGAGAGAGTGAGAAATCAAGAGAGAGGGAGAGAGGAAGAGAGAGAGAGAGAGAGAGAGAGATCACTTAAAACTAACAGTTTTATTTTACAAATTGAAAAACCAAAGTAATGTGTGTTGAATCTATTTTTTTTTAAACATAGGAGTACAACACAATTGTTAATATTTTTGAGGATTTATTTTACCAAGGTCAACTAACAATTGAGCCAGTGATAAGTCAGAAATGTAAATGCTATTTTGTATTATTTATTGTGTAACCTTTACCATATAATGTTTCTAATAATGGTTCTAATTATTTGATCATACACATTGAGTGTATATATGCATGACGTAAATAACATGAGGAGCATAACATATTTTTCCAACATACTTTATATGTAAGGGAAGTGAAGGACTCAGTTGCAGTGTCAGTGTGGGAGGGGGAGGGGAGGGGTTTGGATGTCAACATTTTCTTAAACACATGGTAACATTGACGCTGTCCTGTGTTTTTTTTCTAATTTTGTTATCTTCCAGAGCAGCATATGACATGAAACAATTCATGTGAAGGACTTTCTAGACTTATAGAACATAAAGGACTCTTCTCACCAGGGGCATATGATGCTAGATTTCACATTTATTTGTTAAGACTAATTGGCACTCGATGATGGTGGGTCACCAGTCACTTTTACTTCCTAGTATTTTGTCTGGAACTATTTTAAACTGGTTTGACCTCAAAGCCACAGTAATTTTGAAAAAAAATCTGGCATTGATGCAGATATGAACCTAAGACTTAAAAGCTGCAGGCAAGCACCACTACACTATAGTGGCTGTCACTTTCTAGACTTGTTCATGATGTGAAAATTTTCGTTTGGATGTGAAAGCCTGTCTTGTCACCTCTTCTTCATTTAGTCAATGCCGTGCGGCATTGGTAGTCAATTCTATCTTCAGTCTTTGGCCTCGTGTACTTTCAATTATTTCTAATGCTTATTATCTTCGTTGTCATGATGTTAAACTGTCGAGCATTTTACCTCTTGATCTCCCTCTGCCTCTATTCCACTCCAGCTTTCCCACCATCACGGCACTCTAGTTTTCTCATTCACATGACAGGCACAATATGTTGCACTGTTGCTGTGTTGCTTTCCCACCACCACGGTACTTTAGTTTTCTCCTTCACATGACAGGCACAATATGTTGCAGTGTTGCTGTTGTTGCTTTCCCCACCATCACGGTACTTTAGTTTTCTCCTTCACATGACAGGCACAATATGTTGCAGTGTTGCTGTTGTTGCTTTCCCACCATCACGGTACTTTAGTTTTCTCCTTCTCATTGACAGGCACAATATGTTGCAGTGCTGCTGTTGTTGCTTTCCCACCATCACGGTACTTTAGTTTTCTCCTTCTCATTGACAGGCACAATATGTTGCAGTGTTGCTGTTCTTGCTTTCCCACCATCACGGCACTCTAGTTTTCTCATTCACATGACAGGCACAATATGTTGCAGTGTTACTGTTCTTGCTTTCCCTATGTTTGATCACCTTTTCTCCGAGGGAACATTCTAGTACTGATTGTAGGATTGTAGGATTGAACCAAGCCATGTTTTTATTTTTTTTTTAAATCTCACCCTAGTGAGGATTGGGGTCCACAATGTTCAGGAAAGCAGTTTGTGTTCACTAGTCGTAGAGCTGCCATTGCTCCTTTGATTCTTGTCATAATATATTGAATGACAAATTGTGTTTTGTTTTCGTTTTTAAATCAAGAAGTAATAAAATAATGGCATAAATACTGATGACTGCAGCTGAAATGAGTATTCAAAATAATAATATCTTGACTGACTACTTCAAGAATCAATTGATTATGCAAAATTATTTTAAAAAATTATGTCATTAATAAATAATGCTAACTGATTTAATGTGTGGAAAAAATAAGTGCAATAAAATGTTATCCAATGTAATTATTGGTTATGATATGAATGGCTGGGCTTGTATTGGTGCATCTGTTTTGTAATTTGCTTAAGAAAAGTAGATTAATTACAGTCTGTCTGTCGGATGAAGATTTTCTTCAACTGGTCTCCATCAGTCTGTCACTTGCACTGGTTGTACATTGTCTCAGACTTCAGTTCACCCATCTCTTAATTCTCTCTACTCACTCGATAGATCTACTGGTTTGTCCCCTCTGGGCTGCTACCTAAAGGTTTACCATACCATCCGGAGATTTCACAGTCTCAGTCTGGGCGGCAGACCATCAAGACAGATCCCAGATACCCCATTCAGCCTTCAGTGAAGTTATAATTAGGGCATCTTTAACGGCTACACCAGCTGTGTGGGACCTGCAGTCCCACGAAAATAAGGAAACTACTCATTCTTCGACTACTTACACACCTACCTCCAGCTTTGCCCTCCTGTATGGTTTCTGTAAGCATGTCATGCCTGTAGTGTGGCTGATATATTTCACTTCCTTTTTTTTTCCCTTATCTGCTCTTTGTTTTTTGTTTTGTGTTGACTTTTGTGTTTAATTGTTTGTTTCCAAAAAAAATTATATTTCTCTCCATATATCCACAATCAAGAGTTGCCATTCCTTTCTCATTGCTTGTTCAATGTACATGTTCCTAAGGGGGCCTGCGTGGTGTAGAGGAATGGTGTCCGAGTCCCAGAGATCCCAGGTTCAAACCCCTGTGAGGGCTGGGATTTTTTTACTTGGACGTCTAGTAATTACCCCCCCCCCCCCCCCCCCCCGGTCTCTGGTAGTGAGATCGGACGCCTGTGTGTATTGCTGCGCACGTTAAAAAAATCCCTTGGCAATTGGACATTAGAAAGAGTAACATTTAGAGTTAAAAATCTACTCAAAATATTTTAGGATCCTCGCCGGTGCTACGGAGCCCGTGCACTGCACTGAGCTACTTTGGACTCAGACCTGAGTTAAAAGTAGAATGAAGCACTTATGGGTTACTACCTGTGTGCCATGATGTTGATCCATTGTTCAAACCTCAAACTGACCATGTTCCTGGTTACTGGTTGAAGAATCGATATCACAGCACACTCGACAAGCTCCGTCTTCTGCAGCTAATGTCTTAAGGTGTAAATACTAACTGTTCCTGTAGCACACAGATTGATTCAGAACCATATAGTTATACCAAATGTACATAACATTTGACAAGTTCAGTTTAGAAAGCAGATATAAAAAATTAAAAAAAATATGTTTTTTTTTTCGCAATTAAAAACATGTGTAATAGTTTGGTGGTCATTAGTACATTTTACTCCATTAGGACATCACACAAGCGATTAACACCCGATGACACAAAGTGCCTTCATGTGGATGAGGATCACCCGTGGAGAAGTCCCAGAAACCGCTTTCAGCCATTAGGTCATATTTATGGCCAGGCTATATTGCGGCCCCTGGCAAGAGCCAGAGCAGGGCTTCAAAATAACGAAAAATTGCATCCCACAAGGGGATGGCTGATTATGTAATGTCTATTAATGGTGGTCATGAGGTTAAACAAGTCAAGTTGTGCCATCTGGTACTTGCTACCTCAGGATTAGCCAACATCTCCTGCCAATGAGCCAGTTCAGTGCCACGCGCAAACATGAAAGGCCCCAGAATCACTCTGCTATATTCAATTTCATTGGCCATAGAGACGGTGGATGATGTCAGCATGAATGAGATTCTCAAGTTGCATGTTTCCAGTAATTTTCCACTCAATGTGAATGTCAAGGTTTCATTGAAGATTATTTCTGCACCACCTTGACGGACAGCTGTCTGTTTTATTCTGTGACACTTGTTGCCATAAAACAAATGAATTCGTATATAGGCTCCTGAAGACAAAAATGTAATAGAACATCTTAAATGTATAGCATACTACTTAAGGATTGTCAAATTAAGTAATTTAATAATGGAGAAAATGGGGCAGGGGCAGACCAGCACGAAGATGGGCACAGGATATAAATGACTCCTTGAATATGAAAGTGCATGAAGCAAGAGAGCTGGCGAGAGACGGAGTTTCTTTCATGGAGACCGTGATGAGATACTTTATGCAAAGGAGCTGATACCTGATGATGATGATGATGATGTGGTAGAGACTGTCACATTGGACACTACAGTCATAGTAGACACTGTTCCCAAAACTAGCAGCACAGCTCTATGATCTCTGTGGACTGGCAATTGCCTCCTATATGTCATATGAGGCTTGCAGTCAATTCATAAAGTCTGTTTATCATATGCAGTCTTTCTTATAACATGGAGTGAATCCAATCCAGTACCTTTTGTCATAGGATTTCGACGTGAAGATAAACTTATGGCACTGGATGTGACACACATGCACTTTAAGAAATTTAATAGCTTGTTAGAATGCCCTTTCACTCAAATCTACAGGGACAACAGAAATAAAAGGATACTTAAAATGCGTGGAGAAAAGAATTTAAGACCAGTGTGAATAATAATGTCCGGACATGCAGTGAGCTGCAGAGCTAGGAGAAGGCGAACGGTAGGAAAGTTAAAGGAGATATGATTCATTAGAAAAAAAGAGCAATAGAACATACAAGTTTTTTTGTGTGCATGAAAGACAAGGAAAAATTAATATATAATTTAACCAGATTAAGTATGAGTATCCATAAATCGAGGTATAAATAGTGGAAGGAAACATTAAAAGTTAAACCGTCCTAGCCTTCGGATTGAGCAGAGATAACGGGATGCATTTCATATCAATGAACTCACCCATTCCAGGGTAATTTTCAAGACGGTGCAGATTTCTGGCATTGTGAATGGTGACAATCATCTTTTCGTAAGAAGGTATATGAAGTAGGCTGATCTGGAGCTCTCCATTGGAGGTAGCTGTCTGCAGTAGAGGGTTATCAATATAAAAGCTATATCATGGATGTTTTTCAGAATTCCTTAACTGGTTAATGAAATCAAAACATACAGTTAAGGTCCTTTTTCAAGCCTGTGACACATTATTCATATCCTTCTTCTTCGTGTTCACAGGCGGCCAACTCCAGCAGAAAGTTAGACAATATTTGCCCTATTCTGGCTCTTGCCAGGGGCCGCAATATAGACTAATGGCTAAACGCGGTTTCTGGGACCTCTCCACGGTGATCCTCACCCACGTGGTGGCACATTGTGTCATCGGGTGTTTATCGATTGTATGATGTCCTGGTGGGGTAGAAAGTCAGTCAGCAGAAAGTTTTAGTTGTTCGCCAATCTCTAGACCCTAATCCTGTTCCAGAATCTGATCTTTGTACATGCAGGACATTGCAAAACCAACCCCAGCATGGGGACAAAAGCGCTGTTGCGGGTTTTTCTAAAAAAAATTTACATTCAGTAGTTTGCCATGGCCCGCCAGCGGTCGGCTCTCGATACCACTGTCAAACCCTACGCAAGGCGGTCTGCTAGCAAATCGCCTGCAGCTGGGAATGAACCTGGTACCACGGCATTACGAAGCACGTTCGCAATGCCTAAGCCACAGAGGTTGATGAAATGTATAAACAGTTCATGCACTCTGAAGTTATAATTAGGGCATCAATAACGTCTACACAAGCCAGGTGTGACCTATTTTCCCCTGTGGGTAAGGACGACTCAAAGCCCACCCCCCCCCCCCATGTCCCTGTGGGTAAGGACCTCAAGAGCCCCCCACCCCACCCATGCCCCCTTTGGGGTAAGGACGACTCAAGACTCCCCCCCCCCCCCCCCCCCATCATGCCCCCTGTGGGTAAGGACGACTCAAGGACCCCCCCCCCCCGCCCCATCATGCCCCCTGTGGGTAAAGACACCCCCCCCCCCCCCCCCGCACCATGTCCCCTGTGTGAGACGACTAGTTCCTGGCTAAATTACACTAATCCTGTGCTAAAATTGGCTTACTTAACTGGGTCAGAAAGGTAACTTTTGCATAAATCATTCTTACTCACCCTGATCGTGGGCTCCAGCTGGGCCTGTATAACGTCAGCTCCTGTAAGATCCAGATGTTTCAGGCCGACGACCACATGACCCAGGGAGTGCCTGACTCGGCGTTTGTCAATATCGTAGACAGACAGTCGTAAGACACGCTTCTGGATGTCTTCAGCTCTTACCTGCACAGGCAGAATATCACTTAGTATTCTAGGACTAGACTAGAATAACTAGAAGACTTATAGTATTGCTAAGAATAATTTTAAAAGTTTAAAGTGAGAGGATCAATCCTTTCCCAGGGTTTTATCCCAGATGACTAGCCGCCTGTCGAGAGCATCACAAAAAGCACAAACCTCAAAGCTCCGGACGATACCCAGAGATCTTCGTAAAAATTGTCTCTCTACATTGTACTACAGCACTGGTTCTCACCCTTCCTAATACCACGGCCTTTAATACAGTTCCTCGTGTTGTGGTGACCCCCCAAACATACAATTATTTTTGTTGCTACTTCATAACTTCAGTAAATATGTGTTTTCTGTTGGTCTTAGGAAACCCTTGTGAAAGGGTCGTTCGACCCACAAAAGGGTCGCTTTGAGAACCACTATAGTACAAAGTACCCTTTGCGGTGGCTCAATATAACTGTCTTATTTGGCTATACGGTTGAACGGAGTTTTCCGGGATTTGTACGTGTTTGATTCTCAACCTTGACATGTTATCTTACAGACTGTAATCCTGAAAGCGAAGCACTAAAACAAAACCAAATTATTTGTGGCATAAGAGGTTGAAACACACGCAGTCCGGATAAATCTGGGCTTTGATGCGGTCTTCTCATCAGGTAGCATTTTATGGAAATAAAAATGATGGATTGGTTGGGCTTTATGATGGATATCGATGTAGCTGTGGGCAATGAAGAGCAGGTGCGCAGGCTGGCGTTTTACCAAACGTGCAAGGGCGTCAATGAGAACTGAACATTTAAAAAATGTAACAATTTGTTTCGCCAATATTATGTATTGGCCTAATGTGTTTTTAAGTTGTTATCAAACCTGGAACGTGTGAGATTCATTAAATACAGGATTCAGCGTTTTCTTCATGACTTTTGACACTCGGCAAGTTTTGTCATCTGGCAAAAGGAAGATCTTCACATACGGGTCACGGCGGTCACTGTTGTTGTTTCGGCCTGCAATATCATTGTACAAGTAGATGGTAGAGATATAACAGTGACACCTTCAGGTTACATACCGACTTCACAGTTCTGTCAATATTAAATGTTATAACCTTTCCTTCCTCTCTTTCTCCACTTCCTCCTTCTTCTCCTCCTCTTAAACTCTTTCACCCTTCCCTCCATCCACACATCCTCCCCTCCTCCTTATTTTTCTTTTTTTTTATTCCCCCTTTTTTGGCGGGGGGGGGGGGGGGGGGTGTTACCTTGACTCTTAGTTACGAATCTCTTCAACTCAGACATCAGGGTAACCGATTTTGGAAACTTTTTCAGTGATAATGATTTTCTTTTCACTCTTTGTTGAATATGTGTATATATGCAACTTGTACAAAAGACCTCTAGCCCTAGAAGGCTTACTATCCAATGTTGCTACTCACATGTTTGGAGGGACGTGTGGTATCATTACAAACAAACAATAAAAAAAATCTCTCATTGAATATAACCTATACTTATTGAATACAATTCCCTCTTCTTGCATCCGATCCCTTTTGCATCCTGCCTCTCATTCTTTTTAACAGTTGCAACCCTAACAATCAGTTTCTCAGACTATTCGTGTGTTGGCCCCAGACATCCTTTTCATCAGTTTCGACTGCAGTGTGTTCACTTACCTGGCAAGTGCTCAGCTCGGATAAGATTGACCTGCAGCGTCTCCATGGCGACATCATACAGTACGGAGAACTTTAGACGACCAAGAGGAATTTCCTGATTCTGTAATTCTGTGTCTTCTGGGAAACTGTACAGACTAAATCAAAGAACACATACAAATCATGAATTTACAAATATGCTCGCATTTTAATTAATTAGGCATGTTAAGCTTTCAAGTCATAGTCTGTATTATGTGGATGGTATTTTGGTCGGGTATGTTATGTTCAATTATTATAATCGACGTCTTTGTACGTGGGGCATTTTGCGCTCAGTCCTCCGATGCAGCAGCCATTCAACGGTACCATTGCGGACTGCTTCCATGAGAAGCTGGTAATAGTATCTCCAGTCAGTCTGAACCTCGAAGACAGCAAAAACGTGCTTCATCAAGCTTAACTCCCAGGTCATGCAATCGTGTTAGCGTCAAAGATGCAACATTCTCCTCCAGCTTTGTCCCGTTTGCATTGGTGCATTACTTGCCAGCTGGTCATCTCTTCCATTGCCTTTCATTCCTACATGCCCAGGTGTGTAGATCCAGACTACAGAGGTTAACTGTATCTTCCCAATGCAGGGCGTAGACTCCATGTAGCGATTTTCTGAAGCATGTTCATGTAGTTTGAAACGATTACCGCATGTGTGGCCGCTTGTTCTGCTATTCATGTGAGTGCTCTGGGAGCAGTGGTTATCTCCACGGTCTTGCTTGACGTAGTCGTCTGGTAAGTGCCGCTGTCCTCTTTTATTGTTTTCCCCATTCTTTGTACTATGTATTCCCATGCTGATCTTGACCAACGCTTCACGGACCCATCTTTGTAATCTTGATGTCTTCTCATCGTGAATGTTGATCAGTGACCTCATCTCGGCGTCTACGGTAGCAAGTATATGATTCCTGCAGTACGACTCCGTGACAACCTTAGACAAGTCATGTATGTCTACTGGTGTATCCATCCATTCTTTTCCGTGACTGATCTCGTCTAGCTGGATTAAATTTTCTGCCCCGGCCATCCAAGAGGAGCCTCTTTTGAGACTCATTCCCTTCATATCATTGATAGCGTTGTGCAGAGGGTAGTTGATTTCTGCTGATAGTCTCATGTACGCTTTCACCTGTCTCACTTTATGTCAGGTGGCCATCGTCGGCAAACCCAGGACATACCGCATAACGTGGTACGTCTTGTGTGCGGCCGAGTATTAGTCCCATGGCCTTATTGTGTACATGGTCCAGTCTTTCTAGCTGGGTTCTGCGGACAGTGAGGAGGTCCAGACCATAGTCTAGAACACTTAATACGAGCCATTGATAAAGAAGGACAATTAGGTTATTGTTTAATGTCGGCGTCTGCCATCGCCTTCAGTGCCGTGGTGCCTTTATTGGCACTAACTATGACATTGTCTACGTGATGCTTGTATGACAAACATCTGTCAAAAGTCATGCCAAAATATTTCAGTGGGTAGTCAAGGTTTCAACTTCACGACAAACGGATCTCGCTATAATTGCTCCATTCCTGAGCCAGTCTTCTTCTTCTTCTTCTTTTTTCTTCTTCTTTCTTCTTCTTCTTCTTCTTCTTCTTCTTCTTCTTCTTCTTCTTCTTCTTCTTCTTCTTCTTCTTCTTCTTCTTCTTCTTTTTCTTCTTCTTCTTCTTCTTCTTCTTCTTCTTCTTCTTCTTCTTCTTCTTCTTCTTTTTCTTCTTCTTCTTCTTCTTCTTCTTCTTCTTCTTCTTCTTCTTCTTCTTCTTCTTCTTCTTCTTCTTCTTCTTCTTCTTCTTCTTCCCAGAAACCCTGTTCAACCCATAAGGTGGGTTATATTAAAGCTCCCGGTAAAAGGCAGTGCTTTAAAATAACGAAAAATTGAGTCCTATTGTTGGGACGGTGTTGCTGTGACATGTGACATACTGAGAATGGGGTTTTGTATTTATTTGACACTTGTCCAGTCACGTGACACAGTGACGTACTTAGAATGTGGTGCTAGGGTATTATTTTCCTGACCAAACAATACTCGATGAGTGATGTTGTCAGTATCATGTCGCCAACCTCAAATCTTTTAACTTATTTTCTAAATCAAATGGTAAAAGAGAAAAAAAAAAAACATTTGACTGAAGAAATCTTTAGACGGAGCATAATTGAATAATAATGATGCATCTGATAATGGAACAAAAACATGTAATTAAATTAGGGACAACAATTATTTTGTGTACACAGGTTAAGTATAGCTTACTGGTACTTTCACGTTCGTGCCAGGAAATGTGGGGGTACGATGAAAACAGCAAGCTGATAGACTTGTAGGTAAGACTACTGTGAAAGCCGGACAAGCCATGGACCAGGCTGATATATTGAATGCTCTAAGAAAGATAAGACGTTTGCGTGAACTACGTGAGTACTAAGCATCTGCAACAATGGTCAGACTGCAAGAACAGCAAGCTTAACAGGGTGTCTTCAAACAAGAACACTACGCAGGTAGCTAAAGAAAAAGAGTAAACCAACACAGAACTGGTGTCGTCAGCGGCTACACGCTGCGGGATCTACTGAGGAGGAGATCCGAGCACTTATGGACTGAGTGGTTCGACATGCAATGAGGATAATCTGTCGACTAACTAACTAAGTAACTTACTTACTGGTAATGATTAATTGTGCTACAGTTTGTTTGGTCATTGCCGAGAAAAAACGCTGGCCCAGTTGAGTAATATGGGATGCCAGGTTGAACGTGCTCACTTGTAACAGTAATTTCTGGAATACACTCAGACTTCACTGTGTGATTTCTGCAGCTGATGATTGACAGAGAGGCGGGGCATGATTTCTGTTTGCTCAACTTTGGAGATGCAGATCTGTCAAGGACAATTTCACACAGCGTTAGAAAAAAATATGTGATACAAACAAATATATTCTTATAGAAGTGAATCATAATAATAACCCATACATTTGTGTTTAACCTTGACCTGTAATAGGGTTCCGGAACCCTCCCGGTTGGTTGTGTATCCTTTACGGGACGTTGCAGAACCAACCCCAACAGCCCCTGGCGGTAGTGGGATTTTTCTAGGCAAATTTACGTCCAGTAGTTTGCCATTTCTTCTGGACAGTCGGCTTTCTTGATATTACTGTCGAAACCAACGCAAGGGTCATGGTCCGCAGCTGGGATCGAACCCGGCATCTCGGCATAACAAAGTGTTCGCATCGACTTAGCCACAGAGCTGACAAAACCCTCACGAGGAATAGATAAACTGACATTTGGCTTTTATTCTTTGTGCTTATAGTGTGGGATCTGCTTGATCTGTTATTCATGTCTTGTGTATATTTGTATTATAAAACCTGATTTGTAGTCCGACTTTTTTGGTATACTTGCTAAATCGTCTGCTTTTCTTTCAATGTTTGTTGTTGTTAGTATCCAGAAGCCACGTTGCGCATTACGGTAGAATATCGAAACCTTTCGGCCCACCGTAATCTGGGAGAAAAATGTGGGCTTTCCTGCCTACCCCCGGGATTACAAGACGTACCCGGCTCGGTTTAGCCACTACGCTAGGGAGCCGGGCGTCGCTGTTGTTAGAAGAACGTTGCGTCTCCAGCGGCTCACACAGGGGAGCGTCGTCTAGCGGCTAGACGCTCGCCAGGTAATCAGAAGGTCGTGGGATCGGTACCTGAAGGGGGCCGGACTTTTTATGAGTCGCCGTGTCCGAGCGGCTAGACGGTCGCCTCGGATCGGAAGGTCGTGGGTTCGCTCCCTGGTGGAGCCGGACTTTTTTCATAAATGGATTTTGGCTCCTAGGTCGACCCAGCCTTGAGTGGGTTACCGGGTGTAGTCCCGGGAAAGTAAAGGCGGCCGGTGTGATGCTGACCACATCACCGATCTTGTGCCGATTGGTCTATAAAAATATAGGTCTAGCCCTATATACCCTATACGACTAAAGGCGTGGAAAAGGGTCCTTTACTGTTTACTTACTTACCGGCTCACACATGTTGTTAGGTGAACCCGGCCTAAACGTGGCCACATTGGCTGATCTAATTTAATTAGTTTTAGTGTACTCTGTAACTTAGATGGGTTGCTTTGGTTTGCGAGGGGAAAATATCGTCACGTTCAATCATCATCCACCAAAATAGGGAGCTTTTGGTTATATTTGTGACCAGGTTATGTACGCTATTTAGAATAGCTTAACGTTAACCACCAAGTATCCCTGAAAAGAACTCTTGCAGTGTTGATACGATCGTAGGAAGACAGACCCAAATACTGTCCAGATCGACGACGAAGCCGTCCACCGGCCAGCCAATGCGACCCGGTCGGGTAGATGGGGCCGTTGTGAAGCGAGAACTTAATGGGATAATAGCCGGCGCAAGAAGTCGATCCTCGTGATTCTGACGTTTTGATAACTTGGATAGTGTTTAAAAAAATGTTTACATTATGTTAGATAGGGGTTGTGAAATCTTAGCTGGAAAAGAATGTACAGTGAAACACAACTTAGGTATTTCTCTACTTAGTATATAAATATAAATATATATATATATATATATATATATATATATATATATATATATATATATATATATATGTGTGTGTATATGTGTATATGTGTATATGTGTATGTATATATGTGCGTGTGCGTGTGTGTGTGTGTGTGTGTGTGTGTGTGTATATAATAATATATTTACCTGGAGACGGGTGCCGAGTTTGTGGTTTTTGCTTCATCTGTGTTAGAGAAAGGTGTATCCATAAACGTTTTTTGGCGAAGCTTTTTAACCCAAAGCCACAGCAACACAACGATGCATACAACTCCCACCAAGGTTGCAATACCCACAATAGTCAGTGTTATCGCTAGATTGTATGAAACCAAAAGAAATTACTTAGTACGCTAAATTTTAAATAAGCTAAATTACAATCTGAAGGGAAACCAGCCTAGTTTGAATTTCACGTCTCCTCTAGCTAAAAGGCGACGTGTTATTTCCAGCAACACGCCAAACGGGTCACCCCACAGGTGCTCCGTTCCTGTGCCACTGAATCCCAAACAAAAAGCTTATCACTGTCCCTTGTGAAATAACTAAAACAGACTCTAGTCCACCCTTAAAAAATTCTTCTTATTTAGAAAGAGAGAAAAATCATCAAGGTTTAAGAACAGCACAGAATTATATTTAGGCGCGTCTCGGGGTTTGAAAGACTTGTTTGAACATTAAATTCTCAACAGCCCAGGATACATTGTTTATTGATTGTAAATGGGTACTGAATATGTTCAGCCTTAACAAACAAAAACAAAAAAGTCACCAGGTACTCGGCGGAACCCCAGGTCCATATATATTTGACATCTCACAACTAAATATCCCGTTTCAAAACCAGTCCACCCGAGTTCCTGGTTGCTCGGGAAACAACAAGTGTCAGAGATAATGTTTTAATGTAATACTTGATAATACTATTCCTAGCGTTGTTCACGAGCTCAGCGCAATGTGTTGTTGGGTGTAATCAGAAAAATAAATGCATTGGTATTGACTCTTATCTTTGTCATCTACTGAAGCATAGTATAACTGAAGATTGCACAGGACAGGAAAGCATGGAAAGTCCTCTCTGAAGCCTCATGTGCCACTAGGCAAAACGAGAACTGATGATGATGATGATGAAGCATAGACCCTCAGTAAGCTATCCAAGATTTTGCTGCCTTATAGGTTTCCTTCATCCCTTCCTATGACACGCGTTTCGTAGATTTCCAACCCCCCCCCTCCCCACCCCCGGGGAAAAAAAGGTACTGGTATCCACCAAAAAGTAACTAAAAAAGGGTGCCATTACTTAATTCAGTGTATATTATAACAGCTTTGAAAACCAATGACTACAATAAAAAAAAAGGGGGGGGTGCAGGTACTCCTGTTAGACACCAGTTTCTAATTCTCATTTCCGTAAATATTGGTTATTGTTTGTGTTTTTCCTGTGTGAGTTTCAACAAGAGAACGTGTGTCACGGGGAAATACGTGGGAAGAACATAACTGTAATCCTGCAATCAACAATGAATTTAACTTACTACTAAGGAAGGTTGTTATGAGATTACCGTTATCATCATTGCGTACAAAATTGTAACTGTGAAATACAACCACCATAAATTTATTGCAATGCTTGTTTTCGTGATTGGAGGTTTGCCCCAACAGTGAGCTGCAAATTCTGCCGTCGGGTCGTTAGTGTTGGCACATCTGAAAGCTGCTTGGAAATTTTGCTGGGACTCACAAGTTTTTCCCTAGTTTTCAAATCAGATATTGAAGGCGTTTTGTGTGATTTTCATTGGCACAGGAAGGAAGCAGTTGTGTGGCTACCCGTCTGTCGTGATGCTGGAACCTCGACTATCGACTAAAAATTTTTTAAACCAGCGGTTCTCGTGGAGTAGAACCAGTGCTGTCTTATCTCGTGGAGTAGAACCAGTGCTGTCTTATCTCGTGAAGTAGAACCAGTGTCGTCTTATCTCGTGGAGTAGAACCAGAGCTGTCTTATCTCGTGGAGTAGAACCAGTGCCGTCCTATCTCGTGGAGTAGAAGCAGTGTTGTCTTATCTCGTGGAGTAGAACCAGTGCTGTCTTATCTCGTGGAGTAGAACCAATGTCGTCTTATCTCGTGGAGTAGAACCAGTTTAGTCTTATCTCGTGGAGTAGAACCAGTGCTGTCTTATCTAGTGGAGTAGAACCAGTGCCGTCTTATCTCGTGGACATGTTTGGCAGTTGCTTGGGGACACCCCAAGCACAGGGGAACACCGTACTACTTTTCACAGACCAAATCTTCACGTATTTGGGTGAGTGGTTGAATGTTGAAATGAGATTCAACATCATAGTACTCGGGGCACGCCCATAAAGGCTACGTCCCCATCTTCAGCAGCAAAGAAATAGTTCTAATTCTGATGGCACCAGTAACTGTCTGATTGTATATCCATCTCGCCCCTCCCTTAGAGTTGAGCGTCGGCCAGAACTCCTGGTAACTCCTCGCCGCGCCATTTTCCTCAGACCGTAATGATCTTTTTGCGATTCCGAACTGTTCACTCGCTCCCAGGGGGCTCCCACAATGTCTAGCTTGTCATACATCAATTCACCACCAAGTGGTGCAGAACCAGCCAGTCTATCTGCCTGCTCTTTCCTCAACACACTGGAATAACCTGGCAAAAATATCCAAAGGATATTAACTACAGGGGACCTCTGAAGTGATGCCTGCCACTCTGCAAGGAGTATGCCTGTCTGCCCTTTCTCAATATGCTCTGTGAGTCAAGTCAGTGACTATCATGGCAGGTATGTACAGCTGATTCACAAGCCAGCGGAAGGCAGCAGTGACTGCCGCCACCTCCATTCTCAAACTAGACATCGTGATATCATATGCCAGGCTTTGTTGCACTAAGCGACGTCCATTCGCCTTTGCTATGAACCCCCATGCACTTCGTCTGCCCTCAACACAGAGCCATCTCTACAGATAATCACAGCACTTGGGCGGAAATTGTCATGAATTATTTGTTCAACTTCTAATTCTGCAATGCCAGTTGGTCAGTCCCTGCACTCACTACCCAAAGTGATATGAACCCTGCAGAAGTCTGAAACTCGCTCGGATACTTTGACACACTCCTCACCTTGCACAAATGTGGTATTGTGTCTTCGGCTTGCGCCATCGTAGACCTTCCTCTTTTCAGTCAGTGAGTGGTTGTGTATGCAGAGTTCAGTGTATTGCTTTGCCCAGGAGCCTCTAATGCTGCTAAGACAGGACAGGATAGAGCACACACTCGTTTGTTTCATGTGCAGTGGTGTCTATTCTATTTGATCATTAAATGAATTATGTCTATAAAATCAAGTACATTGTTTCGACGATACCCCTGGTAGCGCGTTTGCCCTTTATCTAGTAGTAGTATTTAAACGGCATCCTTTTTTTTTTTATTATTAATTTTTTTTTATTTCAACAGTGGATATTTATGCCTACCAGTAATTTGTTGAGTTGAGTTGGGTCAAGAATTGACATCACAGCACTCAGGGCATGCCCATGCGTGCTACATCCTCATCTTCAGCAGCCATCGCAGAGTTCCAATACTGATGGTAGAGGTCACAATCTGATTATATGTCCTTCTTGCCTTTCCAGTTATGTTTGGTTATGTATCGCACACTTTATGTATTCATTGTATATGATTTTAGGACTATAAATTGTCACATTCAATATATTTTAAACGTATATTCAAACAGTTGTAGTAATTATATCGTGTAGTCTATCTTAGCCGATATCTGAAGCCACCTAGGAGACCATTATTCTGTTCCCTGTTCTTGTGACATACTGTTAAATCAGATTGTTAGACGGGCCTGCGTGACCAATTCTTAACCCTTTGAAAATAAAGTTTGTTCTTTGTTCCCTTTAGTTTTCTAGAACCATCTATTCCATGCATGTTTTTACTTGTCATTTGCTTATTGCCGTGGATCATATATTCATTAAGGGGAGTCCTTTTGAGTTCATATTTCTTGTAGTATAGTGAACAATGTTTAATATTATTATGTATCTGACATACAGAACAGATGTCTTCTGCTATAGGAAAAAAGCCACTCCATCCAAGTTGCAGAACTGGTAATTTCTTATGGCAAAGTATTTTTAGTTCACTTCTTTCCCAACATCTGTAACATGGCTGCAACGAAATAAAGTAAAATCATATAACACTTACGATTTAAGAGATCAACTAATCCTGGGATTTTGGATTGATATGGTTCATTGTCTCCAAACTCCACGTCAGCGTCGATAATTACACCATCAGGAACGCTGTCCATGGTAGAACTGTTCTGCTCATCAGTAGGATGACCCACACGAGACGTGTCATTGCTGGTCAGTTGGAATGCTATCATTTTCAACACCTAAAATAACAGTCTACAACAGACACGATGTCGGTAAATGTTAATCAACGAATTATTCTGACACTTTAAGAGATAGCATTTTATAGTGATACATTTAAGAGACACGTTGTTGTTTTTGTTGGTGTAATATGTTTGCTTGTAAGACTGATAATTTTATTTTAACTACAGACTGTAAACTACATAGCTAACTTTTGTTTGGCTCGAAATCAGAAGATTTAATATTTACAGACGTAACAGGTCCTATAGACATCCTGGCGTCTAATAGCTTTTAATCAACCTGTAAATCCGATGCGTGTTCATTGCCAAACATTCCCCCACTGACACTGTGAGAACAAAACAGATGGCAAAATGTTGAATTATAATTTGCAAGTTGTCTCCCTTCGTTGCAAAGATTGGCATGTACTTTTTGAACTCTCTCCATTAAGAAACGCTCCGATTATTGCTGACATCTCTAAATTATTCCCGAACACTAGTGATAACTGATAAAGAAAATATACTGACAGAAGTTCTTGCTTTGTGATTTCGCTATACCGGTTTTTTTTTCTATAACATATTCACACTTATTAAGCTTCAAATGCAGCTTGTTTCCACCGCGTCAGCAATCGTCATTTCAACCTCTACACCTTTTAATTCAATCGTTCCCATGTGGGATGCAATTTTTTGTTATTTGAAGCCCCATCCTGGCTTCTGTCGGTTCCCTGAATATAGCCGGGGTATAAATATGGCCTAGCCATAGATATGGCCTAACGGCTGAATTTTTGGGTACTGTTCACGCAGTACATATACTAAAATTGGAACGATACAGAGAAGATTAGCATGGCCCCTGCGCAAGGATGGCACGCAAATTCGTAATGCCGGACACGCACGAATGAAATAAAACTTTGAATGGCAAACTACTGGACGTTTATTTGCCGAGAGAAACCACACAACAGCGAGGGACTGTTGGTGTTGGTTCTGCAACGTCCTGTAAAAGATACGCAACTAACCTGTTGCAGGGGGCGCTAATACAACCCAACCTATGGTGGAACGGGGTTTTAGGGACCTGTCCCCGGACTATCCTTATCCGAATGGTGGCACTCTGTGTCACAGGCTGTTAATCGCTTTGATGGGGGTTTAATTTTATCATCATTATTGACTTGCTTAACGCTTTCTGAAGATTGTGCAGGTCAACGATACGCTTTGAATTCGCCTTCCAGCTTTCAAAATGTGCAGTTTTCCTAACTGTAATGAGCAACACTTTAGCTGGCATAGACAGCATCGTTGATAAGGTCAGCACACATTTCTCAAGACTTTTCACAATCCCTGGTTGTCAGCAAGATATGAATCTTTGGATCCGTACTTCTTCTTCTTCAGCTGCAGCTTTTGGAGAGCCGTCCTCGCTAAAAACATGTATAAAAGAACGACATTTTTCTGTCTTCCTGTCGACTTATTCGACAAAACATTCAACAGCCTTTGATCATCGGCGAGCCTCCGCCTCTCCACTGTTATATGTGTATTCATTTGAGTGGTTGTAGAACTTATAACCACCTATTAGTCTGTCCCAAGTGCAATGCCATCGATGTTAATCAGTGAAGCAATCGTGTATTCAGTATAGCACTGTTGTATGGGGGGGGGTCTCCGTGGCCAAGCCGTTTGCCTCCCGCTCTGAGGGTCGTGGGTTCGCTTCATGACTGCGCTCTTCAGTTCATGAGTGCAATTTTTTACGGAGATTCCAGGTGATCGTCACCGGAGCTACGGAGTTTGTGCTCTGTGCGCGAGGCTCTGGGCAGTCGGCTAGCTGTTCTGCAGAGAGAGAGACCGAGCCATATGCGATAAAAACCCCGGTGGGGGAGGTGTGTTTGGTGGGATATATCACCCTCGTCATTATATAGCAATATGTGTGTACATATTCCTCTTCCTCATCTTTTGCCGTCTCACTGCTACCAGGTTGTAGCCCAGTGTCGTGGTTTTCTGTCATTCAACTTTTTGCAGGTTTCGGCTACACCAATTATCCATCTTTCTTGGTCTTCCTACCCGATGTTCTGCTGCAAAGTCTCATATGCTGTCTGGTCTGGCTGCATTCTCACTAGATGGCCGAACCATTTCATTCTTTGTCAATATAATCCAGACTTGGTCTTATTCCAACTTTCTCTCTAATGCTGGTAACTCTGACTCGTCTAGTGTTGTTAGTGACCTTGCGAAGACAGCACATTTAAACATTTAGTTATTTTCTGTGCTAGTGCTGTTTGGACATACACGCACTAGATTTAATTGCCCGGCCTCGAGTGGTATAGTGAAAGAAAGTTATATTCTCCTGTCCTCTGCCTTATCTTGGTCTTCACTGCTGCCCTTTATATAGGCCTAGTGGAAATAGGTAAAGTAATTGACATGTTGCACCAAAAAAAAAAAAAAAAACTCAGGGGAAATTCTTTTTGCCACAAGGAAACTAATTTCAAGCTAAGATAGCATAGAAACAGTCCTTAATACAGCAAGCCCTCATGCGGCTCAAAGACGACTAAGCTTGTAATCAATGAATCCTGAATCCTAGGTAAAGTAAGAATAGGTCCTTTTTCCATACCTTTAGGCGTACTGAGAATTTGGGTTAGACCTATATTTTTATAGACCATTCGGCATTTGAAGGGGGGGGGGGGGGTGATGTGGTCACAACGCCGGTCGCCTTTACTTCCCAGGACTGCACCTCGTACCCACTTAATGCTAGGTCGACCTGGAAGTCGAGGTCATTTTTTAAAAAAAAGTCAGGTTCCGTCAAGATGCGAACCCATGAACTTCCGATCCGCAGGCGGGCGTCTAGCCGCCAACGCCACAGCGACCTCCTAGTTAAATAGGGGTCTAACTCAAACCATATATTTAATATCCGGTCTTCTACTTTATTTCTGGCTCCACTGCTTCCGTATCTTTTGCCATTGCACCTAAATGCACCCAAGGCATTTCCTGTAATACTAGCACTGGTATACAATTTGAGAGACACACAAATAAACTGTCTCAAGTCCGGTGTGTGTGTATATATATATATATATATATATATATATATATATATATATATATATATATATATATATATTCTTTTTTTTTTAAGAATAAGTTTTGACAAAAACTAGATTTTGGTGTTATCTTTGTTCAGTCTTGAAGTCTGGACAGCAACTGTCGTTTTCTTTTAGCAGTAGTGTCACAAAAGCATAGTGGCTAGACAAGTAGTTCCTAAAATCGGTGCTAATGCATCACCTTTCCTTTTTTTATTAATTATATCTGGAGCCAAGCCTTATTTATAAACTCAAACATTCATTTAACTGGCGCCTGCAAGAATGGGGGGGGGGGGGGGGGGGGGGGGGGGGGGGGCAAAGGAGGGCACTTAAAAGTGTGACAGAATCACTGGTGTTGAGCTTTGGGAAATAACTAAACAAATTCCAGTGAATTAAGAGGTGAAGAAAAGATACTAGCATTGGAAAGGACAGACACTGAGAAAACCTGAGGACAATATGACTAGAATGTCTTTGTACTAAAATCCACAGTGTCACAGATATAAAGGCAGACCCCCCAAAAAATAATAACATGGAGAAGGGACTTAGAGAATGAAGTTAAAGAGATAGGCAGGACATGGAGTGAGCTGCATGCAATAGCAAAGAATAGGACCACTTTGACTGATTTGGTTGAGGGCCTAATGCTCCACTGAAGATAGAGGGCCGAAGAATAAAAAGTAGGGCACTACTTGGATATTTGAACCTCAGTTGCCATTTAGCAAGATTCTTGACTGACAGACCATGCCAGTGGACTTCACTCATTGTACAAATTGTTTGATGGACGTTATCTCCCATGATTTGGGGATTGTCTGGTGAGTGCCAGAGGTTGCGGAACTTTCATCTCTCAGATCCCCTGCCAGCTCACTTTAGGCTGATATTGGCCATTAACAATGGCAACGGCGAGTGTGTTTGGCAGAAGTCTTGCAGGAGGTTCCGTAAAAGCAGTACAGAGACTTCCAGTACCCGAGGTTGGGTACAGAGGTATTCCCTCTTACACAGTACAATGGTTTGAACTTTTCCTCATGCCTGGAATCAAGATCACAGCAGCATGTCCTTTTCTATCAGTGACATTCTTGATCTGTATTGCTGACCACACTTTCTCGTGTTCTACTAGTGTTAATGTAAGGGAATTATGTTTGGTCTTAGAATGATTTGTCATACTTACAGCTCTGTTAATCTTACTCTTAACAGTACAACTATTTAACTTAAAATAATAGTTTTACGAGATCGCAACAATTTACAGTAAAACCTCGTTAAAGTAGTAGTAGTAGTACATTTTACTCCACTAGGACATCACACAAGCGATAAAACACCCGATGACACAAAGTGCCACCATGTGGATGAGGATCACCCGTGGAGAGGTCCCGTGTTCAGCCATTAGACCATATTTATGGCCAGGCTATACTGTGGCAAGAGCCAGGGTGGGGCTTCAAAATAACTAAAAATTGTATCCCACAAGGGGATGACATTTGCTCTTTAAAGTGTATTCTAAGAACTGAAAAATCAAGAGTTGGTGTTTAACAAATGTATGATAACCGGGAACAAATAATATATGTAATTTAATCTGGTGGGACCGAAATTTGGTTAATGTTAACCAAGTGTTTGTCTCAAGCGAATTAATGTTATTGAGATTTTACTGTATATGGGTGGGATCATTTTTTTTTAAATGTATGTGAATAATTACTGAGGTACCCGTGAAACAGCATGAGGAATAATTTCCATTTTATTAATGGGCACCCGCAGAAGTAAAGAAAGAAGTTGGACTGGCCAAACAGTCAGCTCGCCCAGTAGGACCTGACAATATTACAAATGATCCTAACGTTTTAGACATTTGAAGCAGGAGTGCCAGCACAAAGTAAACAACATAATATAATATAGTAACATAAAATAACAATAATCATGTGCCGAAGGGCAAATAAACACAATATTAGAAGTAAAATGAAATATATCATTATCAGGTGCCTTGCCGACAGGCTTGGGCGATCATGCCTCTCCACAATCCACGATCTCCTGCAGCATGTATCAATTTGTGTGCCGACACACATCCATGCCATGCAACAAGACTGTCGAGAATCTTCTCTCATTGTCTTCCTCTATCCCTTCTTCCACAGATCTTGACCTCCTCTCATAACATGGCTGAAAAAATGATGACTGTCTCCTTCTAATGTCTGTGATAAGTTGTCTTCAGGCTCCCACCTCTTTCAAAACCTCTTGGTTGCTCTTTTTAGCTGTCCAAGGTATGTTAAGCATTCTTCTGTAAAACCACATTTCTGAGGCCTCAATAAATTGTTTGGCCTGCCTATCGATTGTCCAGGACTCACAGCCATATGGCAAAACTGGATGTATGTAGCAAGCAAGAATTCTTTTTCTAACCTTCAATGACATGGATCTATTGCATAAAATATTCTTCATTTTATACAAATGCAGTTTTTGCCTGTACTATTCTGTTTCTTATCTCAGTTATGCATCTTCCGTCTGATGTTATCCATGTGCCCAGATACTTAAATTTTTGTACTTGTCCCACAATAACACCATTGACTTTTATTATACATTTTGGAATAATTCGTTTATTTGATACCACCATTACTTCTGTCTTCCCATTATTCAAACTGAGTCCCATTCTTCCACTTTCTAACGACATCAATGTCTATCATTTCCTGTAGTTCTTTGACTTGTTGCTATCAAGACTGTGTCATCAGCATAACGTAAATTGTTTATATTGTGCCCACCAACCACAATTCCGGGCATATCCAGCAAAGATTTCATTAGATATTCACTGTACAATGAAAATAAATCAGGTGACAGTACACATCCTTGTCGAACGCCCCTCTATATGCACTGAAATGCACCTAAACAGTTGTTAATTCTTATAGCTGCTGTTTGCTGCCAATACATATTCTTTATTATTCGTAGATCTTTTCCATCAATGTTTAATTTTTCTTATAGTTTTATTACTTCTCCATGATTCAGACAGTCAAATGCTTTTGTATAGTCTATGAAGCATAAGTACAAATCAGTCTTTACTTCTATAGCTCTTTCTGACAATGTCCTTAGAATGTTTATGGCATTGTTTGTAACTTTTCCTTCTACAAATCCGCATTGTTCATCGCTGATTTCTAGTTTAATTTTGTTTCTTATTCTCAGTAATATCTTAGTCACATGACTCATAAGACTTATGAAATATATAACAATTACTAATACAGCATTTCTCAACCTATGGGTCGCTATACTTTTGTGGGTCGAACAATTCTCTCACAGGGGTCAGAAAAGACCATCGGAAAACACATATTCACTGAAGTTATGAAGTAAAAAAAAAAAATAATTGTTTTGTTAGGGGTCATCACAACATGAGGAACTGTTAATGGGTCACTGTATGTCGTAGAAGGTGACTAATTAAGTCAGAGTGCATCCGCCTCAGAGTGAGAAATTAGGAATCTGTATACGAATAAGCTAGATCTGTAAAACAGATGCGACATGTAAAACTCAAAATGTGGAAGAAGACTAAAGTCCAGAAGTGGACGAACAGCCAGAACTTTCCACCCGAGTTTACAGCCTGTGAACCCTAAGATGAGAAAGTTACAATGTAAAACTAAAATATATGTTGTACTACTATTTAAATTTGTTACAGCTTAATTTTTTATTAACTAAATGAGACTGTATGTGGACTCAACCCCCTCCTCTAATGACAATCAATATTTTAAAACCCAGTCTGCTACTGACGACTTCTAAAGATTTCACTGTGATTCTGATGCCATGGACATGTTAACTGTTCCTACATCAAGAGACAATGGCCATTCGTTGAAGGCAGACTCAAACTGAAGCGCGGTCACATTTTAGAGCAACAGGTCTAGTGCAGCAGGCTACAAATTATGAGGGTTAGAATTGTTATTTTCACCTTAACAGCAATTTTTTTTTTAAAGCCTATTATGTTACAGAGGATTCAAACTCAGGTCTCTGGTATGACAGCCCAGCACTGTAACCCCTCAGCCAGCCACCCTGTTGCCACAAGAAAAACACTGACGATATTTATGAACAACAGCATGTGGACATTTTATTAATTTCCTTAGTTTCGACAACACATAACAAGATTGGGCGGGTGGGAATAGATTTTCCAGTTAGAAAAATAATATAATTATTTCATATTATAAGTAGTTAATCTGATACTATTTTATAAATTCACATTATTTTTCTGACTTCCCTGCAATATTAAATTACTGATTTCAAAACACAAACATTGCTTTTTTTTTGTAAACAACTGGGATATGTTTTATCAAACAATAAACATTCCTAGATGACCTTCAGCACCATTTTATGATCTGGATCCTATTTATGAAACTGCTACAAGAAATCTTGAACTAAGACATTCCGCCGAACAGCATTGGAGAATCCTTCTTTGAAATGGAACCATATAACTGTATCTAGTAGCTCTTTCTTGGGTTTCTCTGCACAAGATTTAAAAAAAAAAAAATTTTAAAAACAAAACAAAACAACAACAACATTGGTCTGAATATAAACACTTGTCTACAATGCCATTCATTCATTCATACAATGTCTTTAGTGCACACACTTGTCAGGGATTTCTTTAACAGAAACACTTGTCTCAAATCATCATCATCATCAAGTGTCTTGCCAACTTACAGCTGGTAATCATGCCTCTCCACAATCTGCAATCTTTAACAGCATGTATCAGTTTGTGTGCTGAAACCTCTCCATGCCATGGTGAAAGGCTGTCAAAAAATGTCTCCCACTGTCTTCATGTCTCTTTTTCCAAAGATCTTTCAAGTGATCACAAACAGTTCCAGTTTCCTCTGTCTATAATGTCTTAAACACAAACCAATCTTTGCTGGCTTCAAAAATGAATATGTCTATGTCTTCAACAACTCTAAGCTCATTTTATGCCTGGCACCATGGCTCTTTCAAGGAATATGTTATGAGTTATGAGTTAGATTATCTTCACAGCACTCCGGACACATCCATAGGCGCTCAGATTCCCCTCTCAACATATTCATCAGTGTCGTGCGGTTAATAGTACCAGTCCTGTGTTGGTTAATTAACAAGACTTCTGTGCGTCCAGTGTGCTTCTCATGCTTGACTGTGCTGATCTTTACTACCAATTCACGTATTCTGCCCTCTATTAGGCAACAGTTTCATAACTGCCTGCACTTGCAGTGTCAGACCAAGTTGGGTTCATATCCTGTCTCCAGATTATCATGCAGCAGTATTCTATCTATTGCACACTTGTCCTACAGACCTTCCCTACAGCATATACTTTAACAAGGAGCTAAATCTCTTTACATGCCCTATAATTCCTGTTCATGAGACATTATACTGTTTACGAGCAAGCCCCTCTTGATTTTTCAGACTGTGCAGGAAGCCAACATATGCATCATCATTAAAAGTGTCGTGCTGGTAGGCATATGCTGTCCTGTTTCACCATCCCACATGATCACCTGAATCACAGATCAGTTCAATGTTTCTGTCTCGCCTCATCCATTCAGCCAGGCCAACCAGTTATTTATCTCTTTGCTTTTCTCTTGTTCTTTCCATCAATCTTTTCCCCTCATAACATGTCAACAACAAACAAAAAACAGCATAAGATTACATAAAACAAAACCATTTATTACAAAACTAAAGAATGTCCCTACCTTCTTTTGGCTCCTGGGCAGTTTCTTCAGGAACAGATTTGACTCTCTTGGTCTTGAGAAAGTTGCCAAAGAAGTTGAAGGCTGACTGAAAATATCAAGGAGTGAACAAATTCACACCACTGTTACAGTAACAGCAGATCAATGAGACTTACTTTAGAAATGTTTCTTCTTCTTGGCGTTCACCGGCTGTAAACTCAGACAGAAAGTTTTGGCTGTTCATCCCTTCTGGACTTTGGTCTTGTTCCAGAACTTGACTGTAGTGTGCACATCTGTTTTACAGGTCTGGCTTGTTTGTATGCAAACTGTTGGTTCCTTGCCTCTCAGTCAGATGTGCTCCAACTCTGAAGGACACACCTCTAATTATGTGCCTTTAACGACATGCTTGTTGTGGAGCAGTGGGTCTGTTTTTGTTTCCCCTATACCTGTATCCCGCTAACATTCCTATTTTAAAAAATGGTGCTAGACCCACTGGCGTCTGGTGGGTGATGTAGGTCGGTCAATATCATGTCAGCTGCCTTTACTTTTTAACTTCATTTTGTTTTCTAAATGAACACTTTTTTTTAATGCACAGTAGTTACTGTTTTTCAGACAATAAAGAACAAGTGTTCATTTGTCCTAAAAAATCTGACAGACTGACTGACTTTCTACCCCACCAAGACATCACACAAGCGATAAACACCAGATGACACAATGTGCCACCATGTGGATGAGGATCACTGTGGAGAGGACCCAGAAACCGCATTCAGCCAACTGGCCTTATTTATGGCCTGGCTATATTGCGGCCCCTGGCAAGAGCCAGAGCAGGGCTTCAAAATAAAGAAAAATTGCATCACACAAGGGGGTGACTGATTATGCAATGTCTATTATTGGTGGTCATGAGGTTAAACAAGTCAAGTTGCCAGGGTGGGGCTTCAAACAAAAAATTGTATCCTAAAAAGGACGGAAATAACATGCTGAAAAGATCTGCTTGCTGTGCCCATGTATTCAGAAATTCAGTTCACCATCAAAGCACTCTCGATATGCTCATAAGTGAACCAACCTGTCCTAAAATAAATTCATCAGTGTCTGTTTCTGCTCTTGATCCCCCATTGGAGGAATTGTCCCTCATCCACCTGCCACCAAGCTGTCCTATCTTTTGTCTTCTCCTGAACGTTACTCCACGCCCTCCAAATTGTTGTCATCTTGGTTCTATTTCTCTTTTCCATGTTTTAGGTCTCCTTTTTTATCTTTTTTGTCCCCTGGGGGTTCCACTGCAAAGAGCATTCTAGCTATATTATTGGATGCATTCAATTTTAGCACATCTCCTCTCTTCAATACCACGATCCACACACATACTATAGAGATACTGTTGTGGGTAAAATTTCCAACTTTAAAATTTTGCTTAATTAATTACCTGCACCCAACGATTCTGATGCCAAGAAAGTGATGAAATCATGTGTAAGGAATGTTGATGTGAAATGTGTGATTGGATATCACTTTAAAAAACCAAACATCCCCTTTTCACTGCTGCCAGCTTGCCTTGTTCATATGCCCCCCCCCCCCACCCTCCTGTCCATAACCAACATGGTTTTATCTTAATGTTGGCATGACTTCTGCAATGTTTACCTTTTCAGGAGCCAGACTTTTTGCCTCCAGTTTCTGAAGATGGTTAGGCACAACTGGATTTGCTTTCCTCGCCTGCACTGGCTTCTCTGTTGCTTGGCTACATAAAAAATAAAGCAATTTCTAAAGTCACAGCATAACATGTTTCATAAAGTCAAATATTAAATGTCAACTGGCTGTAAACTTTCATAAAGTCAAATATTAAATGTCAACTGGCTGTAAACTTTCATAAAGTCAAATATTAAATGTCAACTGGCTGTAAACTTTCATAAAGTCAAATATTAAATGTCAACTGGCTGTAAACTTTCATAAAGTCAAATATTAAATGTCAACTGGCTGTAAACTTTCATAAAATGAGCATACAATTTCTGTTTAAACTGAAATATTATCAGTATCAATTTAATTCACCTATAAATAACACTAGCAATATCATCTAATGTCAACTATAAACAACTTATCAGAAACTAAATCAAACAGTAATGACACAACAATTTATCACAGTGATGGCAAATTGAGCCCTAAAACACCATTCTGAAATTACATGTGTTAACTGAAAGGTAGCATCATTATGTTCTGGAGAGAATGGTACAGTGAACAAACAAACTTTATTTTCAAAGGGTTACACATTAGGTATGCAGGCCCTGTCTGACATACGGCCCTTCTAAACACACATCTTCCGAGTACCAATGCCTGTTATTAATATAGCATGTTATGTATGTAATTAAAAATATACATTATAGAATAATGAATATGCACATCATGTATACACAATCTTACAGACTCAAACACACACGTACACATACACTTACATTCTCATACACATACACACTCATTTACAGACACACGTAATACATACATACACGCACCTAGATGCATACACAAACATAACACACACACACACACACATTCATACATAGACATACATGCATACACACATTCCATACCTACACATGCATGCATGCATATACACACATACAATCACATATACAGACACCCACACACATACGTCCATAATGAGGAGTAACAAGAGGATCCTGCTGTCACCCAACACTCGGAGGAAAGGCAAGACACACAAAATCTGCTACTGGTATCACTGGAATTTGAACGCTTCACTGACTGCTAAAGAAGGGATGGAGTGGTTATGGGAATGTCTAGAGTGATCTTTATTTCAAAAACAAGCACAACCCAATCAATATTCTATTCCAGACAATGAAGAAAAAGAAACCTATATGGATCAGCTCATTCAGTGCTTTCAAAATCATAAGCAAACTCACATTTGTTTTGTATCGGATTTTTCACTTTTCCTCAGTTTCTCCAGTCCAATCTGAATTAGAGAGAGAAAAAAAAAACAGAAATTAATTCTCATTAATATTATTCACCGTTTCCAAAAACTCGTTTTAAAGATTTGCTCAAAACCATTAGAGTGCAGACCTGATAAGGAGAACTCACCGGACACCCAAGAAATGGTTTTTCTCATCAAAAATTCCTTTTATCCAGATAATATTTAGAGCAAGAGAAATTGCCCGGGATAAAGAAATTATTCTTCACAGCAGAAATTCTCCACATCTGCGATTGCTAAAGTGCTTTTTTTTTTTTTTTTTGGATTTGTGTTCGTAAAACAGTAGAAAAAATAAGTCTTGCTCTTGTAATTACTGCACTGAAGTTCTGGGGGGAAGGAGGGGGAAGTATCTTCTGCGTGCTCTTTCTTGTGTGTTGTACAAGTCCAGTTTGGCTTAATGTCAAAGACTGCTACTTACTGTACCCTGTATTTTTGTTACAACTTATCAAAACACCAGAAACAGACATCATTTTGGTTATGTTATAAAAAGAACTCAGAACATGCTGTGACAACTGGAAGAATCTGTTTAACAAAAAAGAGGCAGAGATAGACAACATGATAACGATTCTTTACAGCTTCATATATATCTATAGCAGGGAGGGGTGTCAGCACAGTAACTGATGCATGCTGCTAAAAATCGCAGGACATGCAGAGGCATGATCACACCCGCTAATTAGCACGGTATTTGATGATAATGATTTTCGTTTCCCACAGACATCTATTTAAACAATTCTAGAGTGAAAGTAGATGAAGCAGAAACAATCATGTGATTTTACTCCGTCCTTTGAATCTCTTCAGTGGCTACCTCTATCTCCATTCTCACAATGAAGACTGCTCAAATCTAAACAAACACAATTATACAAACAAAAACTGATCATTGTTTTAAAAAAAAAAACATACAAACCTCTCTAGCTATCATCTGTTTAGCAGCGTATGTCAACTGTTTTCTTTGCTTCATCCCTGGAAACTTTACAATTTCCTCCACATTTCTGAAAAAATTAAATGTCTGTTTAAAATGTTTTCATTCCTTATTCAAGGAAAGGTCAGCTCTGTGGCTAAGTCGATGCAAACACTTCGTAATGCCGGGTCTGATCCAAGCTGCAGGCCATTCGCCTTGCCTTGGTTTCAACAGTGGTATCAAGAAAGCCGACCATCCAGAAAGCAATGGCAAACTACTAGACGTAAATTTGTCTAGAAAAACCACACAACAGCCAGGGGCTGTTAGGGTTGGTTCTGCAACATCCTGTAAAGGATACGCAACTAACCTATTCAAGGGAAGTGCATCTCTTATGCCCAGCTTTCGTTACGCATTTCTTAATCTCAGCATTTGTTATGCATTTTTTGTATTTGACAAAAGAAATGTTCAACAGGATAATTTGTAGGATTCTCTTCTAAATCTCCAGACTCCGAAGTCACTGAGGTGATCTACAATTGAATGGCTGTGGTTATATATGTGTGTGCAGGTTATTAATTTTGAATACAACTGTATTATTTCCCAATAAGACGATCTCTCTCTCTCTCTCTCTCTCTCTCTCTCTATGTGTATGGATACTTGTTTGTTTTTCTTCCTAATATTATGATATAGCTGCTCTAAGCTGGAAATGTGAAGAGATTTCAAACAAACGAAAATTAGAACAAGTCAACTTCACAATATCATAAACACAAACAAGTGAACGTCTTGGCAGAAGTGCCTTTCATCAGTACATTATATAAATCTAGAATACCACAAATCAACAAGATGTATATCTGAGAGAAATCACATTTATGTCTGGCTGCCAGCAACAAGGGTCGTAATTCAAAGATATTAGATAAAACTATGTTGGGTATTAAGTCCCGTAAGTAAATTGGCGCCTATGAGATGGATAAGCTGTTATTGGGAGACTCGTGGACTGTGTAATTGGAGTTTCTAGATCTGATAGCCATAACCTCTATGCTGAGGACATTTTAGTAATCATGAGAACTGAAATGCACCGATACTGGTTTGAAGGCACCGTTCTGCACATCAGAAAGATGTTGCCTAAACCTGTCGGCTAGTCGTAGTCCCATTTCGCTGATGTATGTCATACCACATCTTTTGCACATGTTGGTGTAAAAAACACTGTGGCTTGTGCAACAGAATGCCTCACATATGTGCAAGGTGGCATGAAAGATTCCTGCCACTATAGGAGCTTGAAGCCCGACCCTGCATTGTAAGCAAGCCTGCTAACCACTTGGCTACCACAAATCAAACTAAAACTACAATAATCCCTTCACATTTTGAATCAAAAAATCATTAAAGTAAATCACTCAAACATATTTTGCACTTAACTAACTCTTTTGGTGCTAAATAACACATAACACATTCCTCGGTAAATCCAAAGAAAATATGACTGTTCTTATTGATTGTTTTCTACAGCAGGCAGATTTTATGTTCCCCACTTCTATCTGAATAATTAGTTTAACATATCAGTCCTATAGTATCTACTAAACAGAAGATTTACTGCTCTTAGCTCTTTCAATCCCCTAATGCAGGGCCATTTAACTAAGTTTGCTCAGGGGCCAAAATGTTGGGGGGAAAGGGTCGATGGGCCAGAGGAACCAGCCTTAGCATAGAAAGATCACTAATCCAATGCAACAGGCAGCTGAACCCAGGCTAATTCCTAGGTCCCTGTGGACCAGTTGATAGCCCTGCCATAAGGTTTCATTAAAATATATATATATATATATATTGTTTTCATTAAAGATTGCCCCAAAAATTCTAACCATTTGCAGTGTTGTAGGAATTAAAAATGAATGAAAGATACCTCTGTGGTTGCCAGATTTATTAAGTATACACTGATCAAAGTGTAAAATATAAGAAGACACTTGATGTGATGTTTAAGACATGTCTGGGACTGAAAGAGTTGAGCTGAACTCTTTCAGGTTGAAGGTATTTAAATCAAATCTCCCTGAGGCTGAGACGGTTCAGAGATCACTAGATGTGGCAGTAGCCATGGGCTCAATTCTATGTTATAGCAGAGTTTCAACATTGACTGGACAACTCCAAGGTTTGACTGGATAACTCCAAGGTTTGACTGGATAACTCAAAGGTTTGACTGGACAACTCCAAGGTTTGACTGGACAAATCCAATTTTGACTGACCCTGCCCAAAATGGACAGCAGAAAATGTCCTAGGAAAGTAAATGTAGTGGCACGATGCTGACCACATCCCACTACCATTAAATATCAGCTGTTCTGAAAACAACTAAGGGGGTAGCACCATATACCTCAATGCATGGAGACAGAACCTTTATTAACTTATCATATCCTGCAGCAGGTCTTTTGCAGAACGTCGCTCTCAATACGGTCTGCCTGAAAGAAAAAAAAACATTGGTTTCTCGCCAGTTCCCCCAACCCTGTGCAATTTCCTACTCAAGGCACTACTTACATTCTGTGTGGATCTTTCCTGGTACCATGCCTTCTGCTATTTTTTTTCCCCCAAATCGCCATGGCGTTTGAAATGACAACAACTGTTCACTTCTGGGACACGATGCGGTTTACCAGCCAATATTTCTCAATGTTTATATCTTTTAGGATGTCATTATTTCTTTTCTAATTTGTCCATGGTATTCTAAAAATCTTATTAACTTACAACAACAACAACAACAAAAAAAACTACTCCCTTTCACACTGTCTCATAAAGTAATGCTTTATAAAAGTGAACCAATCACATACGACCTGCATTACTTACGGGTCCAAGGAGTACACATATTGTCCATCAGGTGTCTTTTCTTGAATATAGGTCATGTTATACGCTATCATGATTCTGACAACACTGGAAAGTTCTTCCTTCTCTCTGCTGCTGTACAACTGTGTGTTCACCTGTTATGACAACATGAAACTATTTAATATCAATTATAATTATAATTCCCCATGTGTGTCCCAGGTTCCAATGTGGGGAAAACAAGAATAGACCCACTGCCTCCCAAAAAAGCATGTTGTATGAGTCAACTAATTAAGGGCTTCCTTCGAAGTCAGAGTGTATCTGCCCGGAAGGCTAAGAATCAACAATCTGCACACAAAAAGTCAAATATGTAAAACGGATGTGCATGTAACACTCAGGTTCTGGAACCAGACTAAGTCCAGATGCAGATGAACAACCGCAACTTTCCACCCGAGTTACAGCAGGTGAACCTCTAACCTTAAACATGAATCAATCTTGACTAATCAACAATTATTACACCATCTAATTCACAGACAAGGATGAAATACTGACTCCCAGGACAAAAATAATAAAGTGAAAATGATATCTATCCTGCATAAAAACATATTCAATTAAAAGTGACACTTTCGTTGTCGGCATTAATCCGCCCAAGTACAGCCTTGCAAATGCGTGTGCACGCAAAACAATAAGAGATAAGACTTCAAAACTTTAGGTTTTCTGAAAATCTTAAACAAATTAACTTACAGGTCTCAGAGTTGGCTGCAGTATGTCTAGTAAGGGAGGCAACAAATCCAAAACAAGACTCCGAGGGTTGTTGAACTTTCGTACAATTGGTGTCATATCAGAAATCATGGTCGATAACAAATTGTTAGCCTTGAGTAACTTCTGATTTGCCTGTGTGTAGAAAAAAAAATATGTAATGTTAAGTCTGTTTTTTATTTTATTTTTAAAAAAAAGTCATTCTTGCCACATAACCACTCTAATATCTTCTTTGCTCATCTTATTTGCCATGCTGTGTTGTGGTTTACAGCTGGACTGCAATTTCTGTGCCTTTCATCCCAACACATCCAATTTTAGCAAAATCCTAATACATCGCTTTTCACGATGTGCTTAGTTAGTTAGTGAGTTAGTTAGCTGGGTTATCATCATTGCACTCTGGACATGTCCATAGGTGCTCAGATCCTCCCCTCAGTATGAGCCCCAACGTCCGATAGCTAATAGTACCAGTTCCATGTTGATTAACAAGTCTTCTGGTGTGCGTCTCGTTTTTTGCTGTGCCAATCTTAATTCCCAAATCTGCCATTTTGGCGAGTGATGTGGATTCACTGCCCCCAAAGTCCTCTATCCTTCCCATTTCTCATAGGGCATTAATAATATCAGCATGATCCATAGGCTGACCGTCGGTAGTGATAGCAGATCCAGCTACGATATGCTTGTTGGAGGCCATGAATCTGTTCTTTATTGTTCACTCGACAAAATCAGGTCACAGAACCCACATGGGGACTCTAAGTAACATGATAACTAATGATGTCTGCATAACTAATGTGGTAGTCTCCCCCATGTCTGACGAGTCAAAGAAAGGGACTAGACACACTGTGACACCAAACAATCAAGTCTGCTAGTTGTCTCTATGTTTTCTGTTTTCTTCTCACAACACACTGAAAATAACATTGAAAAATGTAAATTACAAAATTTAGGATCAGACTAGTTTTTTTTACCGTGTCTATCTATTTCTTGGGTGACCTGCAGCAATGGTTTGAATATCTGCCTGCCACCCCAGCGGGCTCTCTCAGGAGCACAAGTGCCCACATCACTCAAAAATTTGTAATGTCTAATACATCTCTATATTCTCTTCATGTTGTTGACATATAAGGCATCCAAAGTGATCTCCTCTTCTACTGCCAGACTGCTGCTCTTCTGCTGATAGCATTTCCCTTTCTGCTGTACTTTTCCAGGTTTCCTTGGGTCATTCACATCGCAAAAGACTATGTTTGTCTTTATGAGTAATTCTTTTTTTGATCACTAAATGGTGCCTTCTGTTTAACATTAACATATCATCTGACCCCAAATCTGGCTTTGTTACTGCCTCTAAACTTATTTTTGGGCAAGTGAGAGCATGATTCACTCGTACCTTTAACAATCATACAAGCAATTCACAAGCCTTTACAATTTGTTGTTAGTAGCTGTTTTTCTTTTTAAAATTTTTACAATTTAGTGGCCACAATTTGCTCACAGATCTTTCTTGTGCACAAACTGCACATGGCATTGTCTATTATCCAATACACTAGCTCCCTAAACATCAAACATTAAAATAAGTAATTTATTTTTGTCCTCTAAGAATATAAGGTCACCATAACAATCAAAAAGAAAGAAATGGGCTTACGTCTGTCTGCATGTGAGGGAACTGGATGCGGGGCGGGCTGTAAGATGCATACAGGAAGTGAAAGACTACGGGCAGAAAGGAGTTGAACTTCATGACGGAGTAGTCCTGACAGCGTGCCGTATAATGCATGGTGAGATCAGCAAAGCACAGCCACTCATTGGCAAGGTTCAGCTGTTGAAATAAACACATTACATAGCATACAAGTCTCAAATGTACTGTCATAGCTTCAATACATGCCAGGGTCTTTTTTTTTTTTTTTTTTTTTTAATACTGTGGGTGAAATTATGCCATCAGCTAGTGTTTTTCTTTAGTAGTTTTCCATGAATCGAGCAGTCTCCTCAAACATTCTCCCAGAAACCTCCTCAAACATTCTCCTAGCAGTTTACTCACTGTTCTTGTAGTCTCCGCAAACATTCTCTCAGCCATCTCCTCAAACATTCTCCCAGCAGTCTTCTGAAACATTCTCCTGGCAGCCTCCTCAAACATTCTCCTAGCAGTCTCCTCAAACATTCTCCTAGCAGTCTCCTCAAACATTCTCCTAGCAGTCTCCTCAAACATTCTCCTAGCAGCCTCCTCAAACATTCTCCCAGCAGTCTACTCACTGTTCTGGCAGTCTTCTGAAACATTCTCCCAGCAGTCTACTCACTGTTCTGGCAGTCTCCTCAAACATTCTCCTAGCAGTCTCCTCAAACATTCTCCTAGCAGTCTCCTCAAACATTCTCCTAGCAGTCTCCTCAAACATTCTCCCAGCAGTCTACTCACTGTTCTGGCAGTCTTCTGAAACATTCTCCCAGCAGTCTACTCACTGTTCTGGCAGTCTCCTCAAACATTCTCCCAGCAGTCTACTCACTGTTCTGGCAGTCTCCTCAAACATTCTCCCAGCAGTCTACTCACTGTTCTGGCAGTCTCCTCAAACATTCTCCTAGCAGTCTCCTCAAACATTCTCCTAGCAGTCTCCTCAAACATTCTCCTAGCAGTCTCTCAAACATTCTCCCAGCAGTCTACTCACTGTTCTGGCAGTCTTCTGAAACATTCTCCCAGCAGTCTACTCACTGTTCTGGCAGTCTCCTCAAACATTCTCCCAGCAGTCTCCTCAAACATTCTCCTAGCAGTCTACTCACTGTTCTGGCAGTCTCCTCAAACATTCTCCCAGCAGTCTACTCACTGTTCTGGCAGTCTCCTCAAACATTCTCCCAGCAGTCTACTCACTGTTCTGGCAGTCTCCTCAAACATTCTCCTAGCAGTCTCCTCAAACATTCTCCTAGCAGTCTACTCACTGTTCTGGCAGTCTCCTCAAACATTCTCCCAGCAGTCTCCTCAAACATTCTCCCAGCAGTCTACTCACTGTTCTGGCAGTCTCCTCAAACATTCTCCTAGCAGTCTCCTCAAACATTCTCCTAGCAGTCTCCTCAAACATTCTCCTAGCAGTCTCCTCAAACATTCTCCCAGCAGTCTACTCACTGTTCTGGCAGTCTTCTGAAACATTCTCCCAGCAGTCTACTCACTGTTCTGGCAGTCTCCTCAAACATTCTCCCAGCAGTCTCCTCAAACATTCTCCTAGCAGTCTACTCACTATTCTGGTAGTCTCCTCAAACTCTCCCAGCAGTCTCTTTAAACATTCTCCTCACTATTCAGGCAATCTCCCCAAACATTCTCCCAGCAGTCTCCTCGAGCATTCTCCCATCCAGTCATCAACACTGATTAATAAATGTAATAAATATTGTGATTGTTTTTTGATTTTTTTCAATGTCTCACACGTGAGAGATCTTTGACCAACATTCAATGAATATGACATGACTTACACCATTCAAATGAGGATCTTTTGACTTTGCTTCCAGGTAATTCTCATATAAGCCTTGGAGGATTCGCTCAAACTCTCCTGAGCTTTGGCACACATCAAGAATGTGTTGAAACCTGCAAGATGTGAATGCAAACAGCTCAGTGGATCTTCACAAAGAATGAAATGAGTGCAGGGTCATTATGTTTTGACATAACATCTAAACATTCCTTAGAAAGTAAATAAATGTTGCCCTTTTGTAGAATGAATAGCTCATATGAAATACAATGTGGAAATCAAGTGCCTTGCTGTATGGCGCAGGGGATAATCTCCCCTATCTGCGATCTTCAACAAGCATGTAGCGGTTCGTGTATTGACACTCCTCCATGCCATGCAAAAAAGGCTATCAAGAATCATCTCTCATTGTCTTCCTTTGTCTCTTTTTGTCTACAGATCTTTCCGGTGGTCACAACATGTTCCAGTTTTTTCCTTCTCATAGCATGACTAAAAAAATTATGACTGTCTCCTTCTGATTATTTTGATGTTGTCTTCGAGCTCTAGCCTATTTATAAAACAGCTGGGTTGCTCTTTTTTGACTGTCCAAGTAATTCTAAGGATTCTTCTGTAAACCCAATCTCCGAGGTCTCAAGAAATTGTTTGGCTTGCTTATTAATTGTCCATGATTCAAAAACCATACGTTAAAACTGGTTTTACATAGCTTGCAAGAATTCTTTTTCTAACTTCACATGACATGGATTTAATGCACTAAATTTTAATTTAATAAAATGCAGTTTTGGTCTGTCCTATTCTGTTCTTTACCTCTATGATACATCTTCAGCCGGATATTATTCATGTGCCCAGACACTAAAAATTCCGTACCCTTACTTTAATAACGCCTTTGACTCTAATTATAAATTTTGGCAATGTTCTTTTCTTTGAATTTATCATTACCTCTATAGTTCCATTATTCAATCTGAGGCCCATTTTATCACTTTCTACCACCACCATATCTATCAATCCCAAAAACCATCAGGAAACTCTCCTCAAACATCCTCCCAGCATTTAACATTAAATATAACACCTCATACACCGGGAAGGCTAACCCGGTCAACAAATGCCCGCAGAAGTCGGATGTGTTGGCCAAAAGGTGCAAATATCGCAGCCATGCTGTAAACGGACACATCGCAATTACATCTTCAGTTGAACGCAGAAGAAGAAGTAACACTTCATACAGTTTTTAAAAAAATTAATAATATAAAATGGAATCTGATAACAGATAAGGACTGCATGTTGATTATTTTTAACTGAAGGAGAAAGGTAGCACCCAAACATCTGCACAAACTCACCTTGCCTGTGGAGTGATATTCGTTGTCTGCTTGTTTTCCTGTTTGCCTTCCAACATTTCCTGGATACTGATAAACTGATTTCTACGCAGAAAGAAATCATAATACAGAGTGTCAACTTACAGCCTTATCTTCAAAAGGTTTTAGTGAAGTCATTACTAGCTGCCATATTTAACACAACTTGGCAACAGATTTTAAAAGCAATTTATTAAATATTTAATGAACAAATATGAAAAATGTCAGCTTTTGCAAAAACACAGAAGAAAAATATGTCCTGCAGGTACTTCAAAAAGTTGTGGCTTTTTAAAAAATAGATTTTTGTTGTCAAAACTATCTGTATGTAGTTAATGGGGATCTATGGCTCAGAGGTTAGTAAACTTGTCTCACAATTCAATCCTCGATGTACCAGGGTTTGATGTCCACAGCAAGCTGTTTATTTTTTTTAAAAACTGCTTTTATAGTTTTTCTACAGTAGCGATATGAGTCACACTGTGTGAGAGAATGGGGCCTTGCCCCATAATATAATATGCACCAAGAGAGAAGTGTATGCACTAAAGCCAACTTTCATTGTGGGAACAGCACACAGTTTAAAACTTGTTATTGAGTCAATATGTTCTGCAGCAGATAAATAGGAAAAAAAACTTAAGTCTATGTTTTGTGGGTTCAGAATAATATTTTAAAGAAAGGAACTTATCTATTTTATATTTTGTATTTAGACATTTATATATTTAAATATAATCTACATTCACTGTGAAAATGCACAAACACCACTTACTTTTTGGCTCTAGGCATAGCAAAAACTTCATGCCAGACAGAAAACAGACTCTTCTGTGTGTCCTTCTGGCCAATACTCATTGTCTGTATGTCTCGTAATGTCAGTTCTTTCTGTTTTTGCCTCACAAACTGGAAGAAAATTATAACACAAAGATATAACTAATCTCATAAAGTCAAACCACAAAAACATAAGGGCAGGTTTAGTTAGAATGTTGATTATAGTGATTAATCTGAATTTGTATTTTCCTGACAGACATTAGCTGAGTATTATGCTGATTCACCACAAGAAACCAGAACGCCAGATGGTGATTTTCAAGAAGGAACATAAATATAATCACAATCATAATGCCACATTATGATTCACTGCAAGAAACAACATAGTTTTAACTCAACCAGAATGTTACATTGGTCATTCACTAATTGAAACAACATAAGTGTCCTCTTAATCAGAATGTCACACTAGTGATTCACTGCAAGAAACAACATAAGTGTCCTCTTAATCAGAATGTAACACTTGTGATTCACTGCGAGAATCAACATAAGTGTCCTCTTAATCAGAATGTCACACTAGTGATTCACTGCAAGAATCAACATAAGTGTCCTCTTAATCAGAATGTCACACTAGTGATTCACTGCAAGAAACAACATGTATCCTCTTAATCAGAATGTCACACTAGTGATTCACTGCAAGAAACAACATGTATCCTCTTAATCAGAATGTCACACTAGTGATTCACTGCAAGAAACAACATGTATCCTCTTAATCAGGATGTCACACTAGTGATTCACTGCAAGAATCAACAAAAGTGTCCTCTTAATCAGAATGTCACACTAGTGATTCACTGCAAGAATCAACAAAAGTGTCCTCTTAATCAGGATGTCACACTAGTGATTCACTGCAAGAAACAACAAAGGTGTCCTCTTAATCAGGATGTCACACTAGTGATTCACTGCAAGAATCAACAAAAGTGTTCTCCTAATCAGGATGTCACACTAGTGATTCACTGCAAGAAACAACAAAGGTGTCCTCTTAATCAGAATGTCACACTAGTGATTCACTGCAAGAATCAACAAAAGTGTCCTCTTAATCAGGATGTCACACTAGTGATTCACTGCAAGAAACAACAAAGGTGTCCTCTTAATCAGGATGTCACACTAGTGATTCACTGCAAGAAACAACAAAGGTGTCCTCTTAATCAGGATGTCACACTAGTGATTCACTGCAAGAATCAACAAAGGTGTCCTCTTAATCAGAATGTCACACTAGTGATTCACTGCAAGAAACAACATAAGTGTCCTCTTAATCAGGATGTCACACTAGTGATTCACTGCAAGAATCAACAAAAGTGTCCTCTTAATCAGGATGTCACACTAGTGATTCACTGCAAGAAACAACAAAGGTGTCCTCTTAATCAGGATGTCACACTAGTGATTCACTGCAAGAATCAACATAAGTGTCCTCTTAATCAGAATGTCACATTAGTGATTCACTGCAAGAAACAACATAAGTGTCCTCTTAATCAGAATGTCACACTAGTGATTCACTGCAAGAATCAACAAAAGTGTCCTCTTAATCGGGATGTCACACTAGTGATTCACTGCAAGAAACAACAAAGGTGTCCTCTTAATCAGGATGTCACACTAGTGATTCACTGCAAGAAACAACAAAGGTGTCCTCTTAATCAGGATGTCACACTAGTGATTCACTGCAAGAATCAACAAAGGTGTCCTCTTAATCAGAATGTCACACTAGTGATTCACTGCAAGAAACAACATAAGTGTCCTCTTAATCAGGATGTCACACTAGTGATTCACTGCAAGAATCAACAAAAGTGTCCTCTTAATCAGGATGTCACACTAGTGATTCACTGCAAGAAACAACAAAGGTGTCCTCTTAATCAGGATGTCACACTAGTGATTCACTGCAAGAATCAACATAAGTGTCCTCTTAATCAGAATGTCACACTAGTGATTCACTGCAAGAAACAACATAAGTGTCCTCTTAATCAGAATGTCACACTAGGGATTCACTGCAAGAATCAACAAAAGTGTCCTCTTAATTAGGATGTCACACTAGTGATTCACTGCAAGAAACAACAAAGGTGTCCTCTTAATCAGGATGTCACACTAGTGATTCACTGCAAGAAACAACATTAGTGTCCTCTTAATCAGAATGTCACACTAGTGATTCACTGCAAGAAACAACATAAGTGTCCTCTTAATCAGGATGTCACACTAGTGATTCACTGCAAGAAACAACAAAGGTGTCCTCTTAATCAGGATGTCACACTAGTGATTCACTGCAAGAATCAACAAAGGTGTCCTCTTAATCAGAATGTCACACTAGTGATTCACTGCAAGAAACAACATAAGTGTCCTCTTAATCAGGATGTCACACTAGTGATTCACTGCAAGAAACAACATAAGTGTCCTCTTAATCAGGATGTCACACTAGTGATTCACTGCAAGAAACAACATAAGTGTCCTCTTAATCAGAATGTCACACTAGTGATTCACTGCAAGAAACAACATAAGTGTCCTCTTAATCAGAATGTCACACTAGTGATTCACTGCAAGAATCAACAAGTGTCCTCTTAATCAGGATGTCACACTAGTGATTCACTGCAAGAAACAACAAAGGTGTCCTCTTAATCAGGATGTCACACTAGTGATTCACTGCAAGAAACAACAAAGGTGTCCTCTTAATCAGGATGTCACACTAGTGATTCACTGCAAGAAACAACATGTATCCTCTTAATCAGGATGTCACACTAGTGATTCACTGCAAGAAACAACATGTATCCTCTTAATCAGGATGTCACACTAGTGATTCACTGCAAGAAACAACAAAGGTGTCCTCTTAATCAGAATGTCACACTAGTGATTCACTGCAAGAAACAACATGTATCCTCTTAATCAGATTGTCACACTAGTGATTCACTGCAAGAAACAACAAAGGTGTCCTCTTAATCAGGATGTCACACTAGTGATTCGCTGCAAGAATCAACAAAAGTGTCCTCTTAATCAGAATGTCACACTAGTGATTCACTGCAAGAAACAACATAAATGCCCTGTCCTCTTAGCCAGAATGTTACACTGGTAATTCAAAAGAAACAGCATAAACATACTCTTAACCAAAACTGAATACTGTGACTTACAAAAGAAACACAAGAACCTAAAATGCAATGTGATGAGACATCACAATGAACAACATACATTTTCTCTTATCCATAAAGCCACTCATGAATACCCACACAAACAACAGACACAAACACTTCAGAACTAACCTGTAATGTATTGAGACATGACCTCACATCATTGCCTGACAGACACAAACACTTCAGAACTAACCTGTAATGTATTGAGACATGACCTCACATCATTGCCTGACAGACACAAACACTTCAGAACTAACCTGTAATGTACTGAGAAATGACCTCACATCATTGCCTGTCCTTTCACATAAACAGACAAAACACTTCAGAACTAACCTGCAATGTATGGAGACATGACCTCACATCATTGTCTGTCCTTTCACACAAACAGACACAAACACTTCAGAACTAACCTGCAATGTATTGAGACATGACCTCACATCATTGCCTGTCCTTTCACATAAGGCCAGCAAAGCATTCATGTCAGTCTTGAGTTTCTCTTCTCTCACTACCTGCAAACAATACAAATGTTACATGGAGATTTCATCAAGTTCTAAATAATGAAACCCACATTTTACCATCCTATTAAACATAGTGACAGTGACAGTTGCAGAACCACTAAAGACATGGTATAAAAGTTAAACACATTTGAACACAAATGCTTGAGGAAAATGTTGACAATTAAATAGGGAGGAATTCAGGAAGGGTGAAGAAAAAAGATCTATCTGGGTAAATCCTGGTAACAAGTTATGAGACAAAGAAGATAACACATAACTAACTGAATTTATGACCACCAAAACACAGATAATGAACAGCACATTCATACCAACACTAGCAGTGCCAAACTTGGATATTATCACAGGCTAGCCTACATACAATTAACACCTGTGAAATGAGATAGACGCCTGAGGAAAGCTGCTAACGATCAGAGACAAAGTGAGGCAGGATACTATCAGACAGACTGTGGGAACAAAACCATATACTAAGTTCATTGAGAATTAGAAGATCAGATGGTTTGGTCATCTTGTTAGCATGCAACCACAACAGGCACTACACACAAACAGATGTGATGTGAAAGAAGAGGTCGCCCTAGGAGAAGATGAACTGGTGACTTTAAATAACCTCTACATCAACATCAAGCAATGGATCACAAATTGTTCCTTCCCATGACATTTAACACATGACATTTGACAAAGAGTGGAAACTGTTGTAAACATTATGAAAATCATTGGGACAAATCATCATCCTAATGTAATATGTTGATAAGCAAGAATGGTTATGCCTGGTCATCTCACTTGATCTCTAGTGTCTTGGAACAGGTATGTTTCTTGTCCTATGCTTGGATGGTCTCAAATGGTAGCATAGAGCATTGTTTCACAATACCAAGGACCAAGTCTGTGAAGAGACATAAGCACCACTGCCAAATGTCAAGGCACATGATAATGATTAAGTATGAAAACAAAGAAGTTTCACATGCTTGCATCCTCAACAAATGCTCAATCTAGGGTGACCTTCATTTCCAGAAAGTGCTGATCTCAGGCAGAAGCTATGGGACTGCTTCTACAACTAGTAGACTTTATCCATGTGATGGCCTTCAATGTGATGAAAAGCCTGCACATAAAAACATCACTGTTTATGTCTGCTACTGTTTTACCTCATAAAGCCTACTGGCAAGTCTAGAAGATTCTGTCTGTGGAAAGTTTAGCACCAGCGCCATCTGTCTGAGCTGACGTAAAGCGGGGACATATCTGAAATAAATGTGGCTCTTTTGTAAAATGAACTGATTTACCTATTTCTCACTGCATTCAAAATGCCAATTTTTAAAGCAGCAGTGTCCCATGATGCAACACTGACACTGTCTACAAATGGCAGAAAAGTTAAACAATATGTACACTTCTTGCAATACCACCAGGCAAAATGCTCAGCTGCAGTCAGTACCTCTTGTAATAGAATGATGATAGTGACAAAAGATATCCCTGTCAAGACTCTGGTTCCTAGTTCAAATGTATTCTTTTCGTTTACATCATCTGCATTTTGTTTCCTCATATGTTGTCTTTATTACATTAAAGAGATTCTGTGAGAATCACACGGTCATTTAATAACGACTCCCTATCAATGCTATCAAAGGCCGTTTCACAGTCCACAAAATCCAAAATAAAATAATATCTAATCTATTCAAAATATGCTTGGATGGAAGACTTTGTTCATCTGTTAGCTGTTGGTTGGTCAATGTTTTCTTTTAATCTCTTTAAAATGATCCTGCCTAATTCTGCAGGTGATGGTACTTAATGTAAGCGGCCTCACTGTAGTCTTGTAGACAGGGCATTCATATACAGTAACCAAAAAGTGAAAATATTGTAGTAGTTCCTCTGTATGCAAACAAACACAACAGAGCTAATGTCCCTTTCAGCACAGACTAAGAAAACAAAAATCTACCACACAGAGAAACATCCAAACATACATACAAAACCAAACTTAATAAAAGCTTGTAAAACAAAACACTCAAGTCATGTTTAAACTACTATAAAACTGGTTAGGAGGTATAATTGAATGTTCTAAACTACACGTCAACTTACTGATCGTTACAAACACAAATGATGGGTCGCAGCAACGTTCCAACATTTTTCTTCTTTTTGTTGGCAGACGCTGCTGCCTCATTCTCAGATTTCTTGATTGTGTTAAGCAAGACATTAATAGCAGGCTGAAACAAAATAAAAATAAGGGCAAGTGGAATAATTAGAAGTTTTTAACTGAATCTATAAATACAAATGTCACTGGATGCTTTTCTGTACACTACAAAGGTAGGTCCATTCTGATCATTACTACAATGTACCCTATCAAATGGTGCAGCATATAATTTCTCTCCACAGATGTTTGGAGGTCTGGATCAATTTTATTAATAACATGCCTCCATGGCACCAATTAAATCATCTGACATCATTTCTCTCTGTCTGCCTCTTTCCCTCACTAAGTTTCCCATGATCTCTCTTCTCAATGTGACAAATAATACTGTCACTTTTTACTGGTTGTATAAGTTTTATCTTCATTAGCCTCTTCTAGGAAATAACTGTTAAGTTATCCAGGAAGTCCAAGATATCTGCTCCCCAACCCCCCCCCCCCCCCCCCTTCCAGAAAACCCATTCTATTGCCTGGAAAGTTGTCTTAATTTGTCAGTTCACAATGCAAGATTTACTGCCATACAGCAAAGAATTTCTTCTTCACATTCACCACTTATAAACTATGATGGAAAGTTCTGGTTGTTCCTCTACTTCTGGACTTCAAGTCTTGTTCCAGAACTTGAGTTGTGTGTGCACATCCACTTTAAGATCCTGCTTATCTGTGTGCCAACTGTTGGTTCCTTGCCTCTCAGGCAGATGCATTTTGACTTTGAAGGAAACACTCCTAATTAGTCGCCTTACGCTATTCATGCTTACTGGGAGGGGGGTGGGGGATCTATTATCTCTCCCTCCACCCCATCCCGCCTCAAATTAAAGTGAGGGCCCCAGAACCCACAGCAGATAATGTTTCATACAACCTTTCACTCTCTTTCTGATGTTCAACTCAAGGGACTAACGATTTACACCCCAAAAAAAAAATTTTATTTTCTTAAATTCAGCTGTAATCATGTCATGCATCTTCCGTCTGATGTTTTGACTTTTATGCTTATAAATGCATGTGCATTTGTGTACATGTTTGTAAGCATAAAAAGACAGACAACTCACCGCTGGAGCCCCATCTATCTCATCAATGATGAGGCAGTTCGGCCGGGGATCTGCTTCTATGACTGACTTCATCTGGGTGGCAGCTTCCAACTTGTTTCTGAATGCCTCCACACTGCGGTCATCACTAGACAGAAATAAGATGACACACAACCATGATCTGGTCTACAGATCAAAACATTTAACAACCATAATTCACAGAAATATCAAATTATTTTTAAATATGCCGAAATATTTTATTTATGTTATTCGCTCATCACACTAATTTGTTATATGACAGTGAGCGACATTTTAAGTGATTTCGATTGGCACAGGAGCAGAGCATATATGAGGTGACCCATCTGTAGTCATGTTGGAACCTCGACTAACAATTCTTTAGTCATTAAAGACTTAAATTAATGCACTTTTCAGCAATTTCTTCCTCACAGTCAGAATACGTTTCTAATGAGGCTTCTGCATTATCCTCGTATTGTCCTTTATATGTCAGATTGGGTTTGCAGGCATTTCTTTCATTTCACTAAATCCTAAGAAATCCTTTTGATATCATGCTTGGAAGATAGGCCTTTGGCCTCAAAGATGTTCATCATAGCGCTTTACTGAGATTAGTGCGTACCTGTTTTATATTTTTTTATTTCACACTAAAATCATAAATCATGACAATTATAATGACCATGACATATGTATTTTCCTTAGTTTATCTCTAAAACCATAATCAACGTTAATTTCAAGGATAATAACTTTTGAATTTTTTCAAAACGACTTACCTGGCATTCATTTCCACTGCGTTATAACCAGCATGCCTAGCAACAATGTGAGCCAGAGTTGTCTTTCCCAAACCAGGGGGCCCACATAACAGTGCTATCTGCATTCACAATGACAAATACAATATGAAAATACTGGGTTGAACTAAGACCTTCTATCACCTGCATTTACAGTAAAAATATATTCACAGTAAAATGTGAAAATACTGAGCTGAACTAAGACCTTTTTCTACCTGCATTTACAGTAAAAATATTCATAGTAAAATGTGAAAATACTGAGCTGAACTAAGACCTTCATCTACCTGCATTTACAAAAAACATTTTAAAATGGATGAGATGGTTGGAGTCCCTGTCATGGCTGACAAAAGTCAGTATCATATTCATGCCTCCCCAACAAACATCTCATAAAGGTCGACTTACTAGGCTTGTTTCCTTCGAGGTCAGAGAGCATCTGCCTGAAAGGCAAGGAACCAACAGTCTGCATACAAATAAGCCAGATCTATAAAACAGATGACCACTTAAACGTTTTGGGAGAAGTGCAGAAGCAAACAAATAACCCTAACTCTCTGACAAGGTTTACAGCTGGTTAATGCAAAGGAGAAGAGAAAAGAAGATAATACTCATGCCAAGGCATACATGTGTAATAAGAGTATAATAAAGAAATAGTCATGTGTTGATCAGCCCTCAAAGAAAGAAGTAGAAAGATAGACACAGCAGACAACATCAAAATGTCAAGCTAAAGCACCATGCTGGGAATCGAACCTGTCACCTGTCAAGTGTAAGAGAAAATAAACAAGCTGATAGGCTTGCAGGTATGGCTACTATGGAGGGGGGGACGAACCATGAATCAGACTGATATATTGAATGCTCTACTGGAAGTAAGACATTTCTGAGAACCTGAGTCTTAAACTATGATCAGACTGCAAGAAAAGCGAGTTAAAATGGGCAAGGCCAAACAGAAACACTATTCAGGAGGCCAAAGAAGAAGAATAAGCAACGCAGAACTGGTGTCATCAGCCACTACACACTGGGATTTATTAAGTCGGGAATCCGAGCATTTATGAACTGAATGGTTTGATCCATAGTGAGGATTATCTGACGATTTACTAACATTAAAGAATACTGAATTCAACTAAGACCTTTTTCTAACTGCACACAGTAAACTCATTAAAATACTGAGCTCATCAAAGATTTAGTTCTACTGTAGCACAGCTCTGTTCTTGGCTTATACTGATGTCACACCCAGGTTCGTCTTTGCTACAGGAGGAGTCAGTTGAAAGAGAATAGATGAGGAGAAAGATGGTCGTGTCAATAGTGGTGATGATGATGATGTCTTGCTTGCTGCATGCTTCTAACATGACTTATGCCTGAATAACAAAATGTCTGGAAACAACTGTTCTTTTTTATACTGTCTTTATTGTAATACCTAGGCAATGTCACAAATAACATCAGTGATATACTGAATGGCCGCTGTTTTAGCTCTATGGTTACATACTCTTGAGGTAGCATTGTGTTCATCATGTCTAATTACTTTCTTAACTGGTTCTAGTGTCTGTAACTGTCACCTGGCTTCTAGTGCTGTCTGGTACTAACATCTCAATAGTGTTTTTATTTTATGTGTCCCTGTTGACCATGGATCCATGTATCTCGTCTCTTGACTCTGTAGTTTGATGTCTCGTTTATGTCTCCTCTCTAGTGTCTGTCTTCAAGGCTCCTCTTCTTCTAGTCTTGAGCTGGCATCTCCAAAACTGTGAGGGTCCATGAGACTAGTCCCTCGTCCTCTGAGTCTCAAAGGCTGAAGGCTAAAGATTCTTCCTAACATATGAGGGTCTATATGACAAGTTCTCCTCTTCTAAGTAAAGAAGGCTGAAGGATTTCCTAAGTGGTTTCTTACCCACTATTTATACTGAGGTGCTGGAATGCGTGGTATGTGTTTTGTACTCACTACTTCTAGAATGTTCTAGTACGGCTCAACATGTTTACTGTGTGTGTTCTCATGTGGGATTTTCTAATTACATCTCAACTGCATCAGACTGACTACACCAAAATATACTAACTGGATTGACAGGTGTGCTTATATGACCTTCTAGAAAATCAGGACGATAAGGCCCTCGTTCTTTGTTATGGCACGTCAACGATTAAATCAGACGCTTTTTATATAACTAGGTTATTCATTTGCAAATACCTCTCTGCAATTGATGGTTCTAGAAAGGAATGTCGAGATTACTAAGACCTGTTGATTTCAGTCCCTACAACTAATACTTAATATCCTATCTCCTGACAAACAAGTGATGACCTCTCCCTGTTACACTAATTGCATGCACATTCAAATACCGAGTTCACCTAAGATATATTTTTTCACATCACCACAGAAAGTCTACAGTCTAAATTTTTTATTATATCATCAGAACAGCAAAGCTAAAAAAAAATTTTTTTTACCTCAAGTAAAACAATTTTTTTTACCAATGCAAACTGCCTGACCTGAAACATCAACACTTAAAAAAAGAAACAAAATTATCGCACATAAAATACAAATCTTTGCTTGCATTACTAAAATGTAAATATCTGGATTGATAAACTACCAGACCTTGAACATCAACACTACAAGCATGTTATGAGGTCTAACCTTCTGCTGAGGACAATTATGTTTATCCAATTCTTCCAAAACTTCTGCATTAAACTTCTTGCTCTTGAACTTTTCCTTGAACTTTGCGTTGTCCCCTTTCTTCATTGGTTTCGGCACATTTTTTCCAAACACAACATAATCCCAAAGTTTCATCCAGTGAAGGAGGCTTCTATTGATGGACTGTTCAATCAAACAGAATCACAGTGAATTACAGTGTGTGTGCATGTGTGTATTCAACATCCCAAGTGCATGTTATACAATTCCTCGTCCCCTTGTGCAATGCAATTTTTTGTTATTCTGAAGCCCCACCTTGGCTGTTGCCTGGGGCCCTAATAAAACCTAACGGCTGGACGGGGTTTCCGAGACCTCTCCACGGGTGATCTTCACCTGCATGGTGGCACTTTGTGTCACCGGGTGTTTATCACTCTGTGTGATGTCCTGGTGGGGTAAAACTGACTGACTTATCCCAGGGGCTTGCTGTATCCCACCAATTATTTCATTAAATCCCAATAGCCTGCACCGTTCTCCTTCTTTGCTTTGACCAGTAGTAAACCCCAGCGGAAAGTTCTGGTTGTTCATCCGCTTCTGGACTTCAGTCTTGTTCTAGAACTTGAGTGTTGGGTGCAAATCCATTTCACAGATCTGGCTTATCTGTATGCAGACTGGTGGTTCCTTGCCTCTCAGGCAGATGTGCTACAACTTCGAAGGAAACCTCTAATTAGTCAACACTTATGACATGCTTTTCTTTTTTTAATGGACACAGTGTGTCTACTATTTTTTCCCCTCCCACAATGAGGCGATGGAACCAACACTGGACACTCGCAATGAGTTATGATGAATTACAGTAACAAAGAATAACAATCAGTAATGTGCCCCCAATACAAGAAGGCTTTCTTAAAAAAAAAAAAAAAAAAAAAAAAAAAAAAAAAGTTTTTTGTCCCATGTATACATACCTATCTGCCCCATAACAAAGACATTTCGACTATGCCCAAGCCGTATCTGAAAATCAAGACTCTTCGTCTACTTTACATTCACCAGCTGTAAACTCCAGCGCAAAGTTCTGGTTGTTTATCTCCTGCTGGATCTTGATCTCCTTCCAGAACTTGAATTTTGCATGCACATCTGTTTTACAGATCTGGCTTTATTTGTATGCAGACTGTTGGTTCTTCGCCTCTCAGGCAGATACACTGCAACTTTTATGAAACACCTCTCTACTTAGTCACTTTTTACATCATGCTTGTTAGGGAGCAGTGGTCTAGTTTTTCACAACAGGACCTCACGACCAACAGAAAGATATCAAATTCTATGTTCCATTTATTATGATATGACTAAAAAAGTATGAAAAGTAAAGGACCCTTTTCTATGACTTTAGGCGTATTGGGTATAAAGGGCTAGACTTATACTTTTACAGACCAATCGGGGCTTGGTGGGTGATGTGGTCAGCATCAGGCAGTCCACCTTTACTTTCCAGGACTGCACATGGTACCCGCTCAAGGCTGGGTCAACCTGGAAGCAAATGTCTTTTTTTTTTTCTTTAAAAAACCGGCTCCGCCAGGACCCAAACCCATGACCTTCCGAACCACAGGCGAGCATCTAGCCGCTACACCACGGCAACTCTCTTGATTTGAAGAAGAAGAAAAAACAGGAAGAAAAATACTAACCTCTTCACTCAAGAGTTCTGTATACTTCTGGGGAGCATACTTGTCCACCCACAATGATTTCATATCTTCAGTGATCTCAGTGATCTGGTGTACACCTTGCTCTTCACCAGCCACCAGATGTTCTGTCTCCATGTTCTCACTGTCTGCAGCCAACTCTTCAGCATTCTTCTCCATCTGCCTGTAAACAGAATTAACATTCATGCACATTTTCCCATGTTACACTTGTGTATGGCTTTCTGTGCAAACCATAGCTAACAAGAATAGGGTAATTAATGTATCAATTTCTTCAACTTCTAGTCACACAATCAGTTTAAAGGACTCTTTTCTTATGCAAAAAAACAGCATCTGGTATGTGATGAAAGACTCGTATCATTATAAATCAATAGCATTTGGTAATATGGTCAGTGTTGGCATCTATGGTTTAGGCGTTGCGAACGCTCTTTATGTCAGGGTGCCAGGTTCTACCCCAGCTGCCGGTGGTGTGGCATCAAACTATCTTGCATTGGTCCTGACATGGTATTGAAAGTCGACCATTAATTAAGAATGCAATGGCAAACTATTGAACATAAATCTGCATGCTACTGAACGAAAAACTACAACAGTTGCAAAATGCTGGGGTTGGTTATGCAACATCCTGCAAAGGAAACGCAACTAACTTTAAAAAAAAAAAAATATTTAAAAAAAATTTTTTTTTTTAAATATGGTCAGTATCCCGCCAGCCACCTTTACTTTCTGGGACATTACCTAGTACCTATTTTAGGCTGGGTCAGCTTGAAAGCAATGGGCAATTTTGAAAAATATCTGCCTTGACATGGACTTCGCCTTTGCGACCGGTTTCATATGCTCAGCTTTATCAGCTGTTTTATCTCCATAAACCTGCTCAGCAGCAAGTCTCCAAGGGTTGCCCAAAGTTTGACCTGGATGCCTCCTCTCTCTGGCCATGTTTTCTAGCAGGTTTTGCTATATGGGACAGTTCTGTGTATGTGCTCGGGTGTTTCGTGCAGTTTGGCAGACACACTAGGCAGACTGTGCAACCTTCTTTATGTGCATGAAGTCTTCAGTGTCCTATATTTAGTCTAAAACCTGTTGTACTGCTTCCTGTTTAGTCTGTTGGTTGGATCATCTGGATATTTGCTGTTTGTTCTCTGCCTCCAGGAGTTTCTGTACTTACTTGATCCAGCAGAAAAGTTAAGTACACCATGATATAGTGGGGAAAAGTGGAGAGGAAAACAGCTGTTACTTAAACGTGTTATTTTCTGTGAATTTTCTCATTAAAAGTGTTAAATGCTTGGTGTGGACAATTTACACCAATGACATTATATAAGGCATTGCTGTAACCTGAACAGAATAATATGAGCACAGAGACTAACTGAAAACAATTCTCTATCTCTTTATTCATAATGTAAACAAAAAAGAAATATTGACTGAAAACTACTTTCTACCTATTTATTATTAATGTGAAACCAAATGCAGGAACCACCCCTGGTTACAACAACACATACAGAATACAAGTTATAAGCCTAAAAAAAAAACACTTGGAGACCTACTCAGTAGTAGGATATTGGAGCACTTACGGCCATGTCCGATTAAGATGATCTTTAAATAAACAATTATTTATGTGAATGTAGTAAAAGACTGACTTATTATTAAGACTTATTATTAATGTAAACACATTAGAGATAAACTTACTGAAAACAATTCTTTACTTATTTACTATTAATTTGAACACATAATTTATCTGAAAATAAGCTATCCTACCTCATTATCCTCTCTTCAGCTTCCTCAACCTCCTGTAGCATTTTTCTGGATTGCTAACAGAAAAAATTATTTTAATGCAACTATTAAGCAATTATAAATGTTTACATTATTTATCACTGATGTTGAAAAAAAAAATGTCACAAATACCAAAACCACAAACTTCATTTTATTTAGATTTACAGTCTTGTCTAACTCTTTTAAAGGTTAACAGAGATTCAGAAAATTACTGAGGAAGGATGGTAACTAAAAGAGAGTGAGTGAGTGTGTGGGTGTGTGTTTGGGGAGGGGGTAAATTTGAATAGTTAAAAAGATAGAAGTAAAAAAAAAAAGAAATTTAAAAAATATATATATCAGATCATCTCTACTGTACAAAAAAAGCCAAATCATGAAATTTAGATATTTTGGTGTCTCAAAGTATCACACCAACCATTCATCACAGAAACGGATGATGCAAAACTCAAGTTCTGGAACCAGACTAAAGTCCAGAAGTAGAACAACCAAAACTTTTCACTGGAATTTTCAGCCAGTGAACGCCAAGAAGAAGAAGAAGATCTGTTCTTCATTAGGCAGTGTAAATCTTTTTGGGCGGCAGCTTAACCCTCTTGTTGCTATGAGCGTATTTCGGCATTATCCCGTACACTGCTACACACGTCTTTGGACATTACTGGGTTTGTTGACCCCCAGTGCTATGGATGTAAAAACACATTTTCGACCTCCTTTACAGACTTCTGTATTCTAAGAGGTCAAAGGGTAATACATTTTAGCCATATCTGGATCCAACTGATCCATTTACATACGATTAAACACATTGCCAAGTGTGTTTAAATGCGTCTGACATGATCCTGTTCCTTTGTTTACCATAGAAGCGTGGTCAGTAAACGACATATTTTTTGCCCTGAAATATATTTCTGGTTTTACATCAGTCTACATTTCATTTATACAAAATGGCAAGAAAACTGGCTAAAGCTGATGAAGAAATAATGGAGTTTCTTTCAAGGAGTAATAGCAAGGATCACTTTGAAATGTGCAAGTTATGATTTGGGTTATCTTCACTGCATGCCGACGGACATGTGTACTTCTGGCGTCAGCAAAACCATCTGACCCAGTCATCACAAAAGCATCAACGGGATGTGAAATGGATCCCCAATGATCAACAAGAGGATATGGTCAAATACTGACACGATAATTAAAATAAATTACCTCCTATACTAATACAACAGACAAAGCATGTGTCGGTCTATCACACTGTACAATACTGGTCTTATTTTTGGTTGCTGTTACCATGTGATAATCTAGTGTACTTGGCAGCCTTACAATGGAAAGGTCGTGTGTTCAAACTACCCCCCCCCCCCCAACCACTCCAGTGAGATGCGGTAGCTTCGTCTGTCAAGTTTATGGAGATCTGCCACGACTGTTGATGCATAGACATTTCCCTTCAACAACAGAGTCCAAAACACCACAGAAGAAAAGCCAAGGAAGAAAGTGTGTGATATGTGCAAAAGGCGATGTGAAACCAGATACATGTGCAAGGACTGTGATGTGGCACTGTTTGCTATACCTTGTTTTGAAATATTTCCCACAAAAAAATATTATTAGAAGTATTAAAACACAATGTAATTGCTTATTGCAGTATTTTGTGTTTGCTTTGTAAGTTCATAGTGTTTACTTTTTTTAAAAGGAGAGATTTATTGGTGTCGCCAAAGTGTGTCTGACTTAGCATACATTCCTTCCTGGGTTTTTATAGTAGGTGTACAAATATTAGCCGACACCACTGGCGTATTCTGCTTTTGGAGAGGAAAAAGTTACTCAGCACAGTAAAGAGCTTTGCTTCAAGTCTGTCTTCTGCGTGGTCGACCTCTGGGTCTGTTACCACTGTACCTGTATCATTGCTCTTCATGGTGCCCTGTCTGCTGCCAATCTTGTTACATGGTCAAACCATTTGATTTGTTGTCTAACTATAAAGGTCAGTATTGGTTCTGTGCCGATTCTCCTTCTGATATCATTGTTCCTAAGTTGATCTTTCCTCGTTACACCTAGCATAGTATGTAAACATTTCATTTCTGTCGTGACTATTTTCTATCTGTCTTCTGAAGACAGTGTCCATGTTTGACACTAATAGCATTCTCTTTTCATAATTTTCAGTCAACTAAATCATTACCTTCTCCTCCAGCTGTTCCTTCATGACACAGACTGGTACAGTCAAAAGGCTTGAGCTGCGTGCATCCCCTCCCACACTAGAGAACTGCAAAACAGAATAAATATTATATTTAATATACAAAGTAGCTATACTATGCAATAGTGACTTTAATACCATACATTCACCTGTTTGCAAATACTTCTATCTCAGTATGGTTCTTCTTCTTTATTTTAACTTCAAGTAAATTAGAAACCTACCACCAAGTTACGTCAAACTCGAACACCTGTTTAGTATTTGTAAGGTTTTGCAGCTAAAGTTTTCCAATGGATGAGATAAGTCAGTCTCATACTAACACTACTTCAATAGAAGGTTACTTCTTCTTCTTCATGTTTACCGGCTGCAAACTCCGGCTAAAAGTTCTGGTTGTTTATCCACTTCTGGATTTAGTCTCATTCCAGATCTTAAGTTTTGTGCATACATCAATTTTATTTCTTATTCCTTGCATTCACCAGTGTAAACTGCAGTGAAGGTTCTGGTTTTTCGTCCACTTCTGGACCTTAGTCAAGTTCCAGAATTTGAGTTTTACATGCAGATACCCCCCCCCCCCTCCCCTTTTTCCCCCGACACTTCGATGAGGTACAAGGTGGAAGAGAAGAAGAAGAAGAACATGCAGATACATTTTACAGATCTGGCTTATTTATAAGGAGACTGTTGGTTTCTTGCCTCCAAGGCAGGCGCACACAGACTTTGAAGGAACCTGCCTAATTAGTCGACTGTTATGATGTGCTCGTCAAGAAGGTGGTGGGTCTATTCTTGAGGGGGACCCAGAATCCATTTTACAGAGCTGGCTTAAATTTATGTAGACTGCTGGTTTCTTGCCTCTCAGGCAGAAGCACCCTAATTCCGAGGCGAACCCCTAATTACATCATGCTTGTTTGGGTAGCGGTGGGTCTATTCTTGTTTGTCCCCCACGATAAGGCGCTGGAACTTAAAAGGGGAGGAGAGAAGGTTACATTATTCTTTGTTTCTGGTCCCAGTAACAGACAGTCCTGGTAAGCAAGACTGGTTTCAAATCTTTTGGAAGGCTGACTTTAAAGTCTAGTGGTATATTTACTGTTAGAGAAGTGGCTGGCCTAAATGTTAAGAATGCAGTGTTCTTATGTGGGAGACCCAGGTTCAAATCCTCAGTAAGGCTGTGGATTTTTTCTGTCAGAGGCATATCAAAGCAAGCAGATAAACACAATTCTATTACTTCTTATGACACAAATCACATATAAATACAAACTTCAGCTTCCAGAACATCCTCATTCCAAAGTTTCATGTAAACCCTCTGGCCATCATAACCAACAGCACTCATAAAATCACATTTAGGGATTCGTTTATGAACACGTGGTCGATCTAGATCTTCAGCTGTGAAAGTAGAAAAGTGTCACACAGTGTAAGAACTCTCAGGACAACAACAAAACATAGACACCTAAATAAATAGAGAAAAGAAAATAGAGACAGGTAAGTAATACCATGTGTGTTCTGGGAACCCACTGGAGGAAGGAGGGGGAACAGACCTACTGCCTCTCTAACAAGCATGTCGCAAAAGGCGGCTAATCAAGGATGTTGCCTTCGAAACTGAAGTGCATCTGCCCGAGAGGCAAGAAATCTTTACGTCTGCATACAAATAAACCAGATCTTTAAAACAGAAGTTCATGCTAAACTCAAGTTCTGCAATAAGGCCAAAATCTGGAAGTGGACAAACAACCATAAACTTTTCCCCAGAGTTTACAGCCAGTGAACATTAAGAAAAAGAATAATACGGGGAGGACAAGAAGTCAGCTGCATGAAATGTAAAAAAAAAAAAAAAACAGGAAATCTAAATGCAATGTGGCTTAGGCCTGAGACTATCCCTTTTTTCAACATTTTGGTCCCTAAGGAAATTTAGTTGAATAGTCCTGATGTAGTTAGTCACCAATGAAGATTTATAGTGAATCAAAAGTAAAGGACCCGTATTGGTATCTTGGCACATTAGACATTTTAAGACCCACTTTATTTTTTTTAAATAGCTTGTGAAGTACTTGATGGTTGACAGTGTGACCATTACTTTTACTTCTCAGCGAATCTCCTGGTACATATGATGAGCAAAAAGAAGGATACAATTTCCTCCTTACAGACCCTAGCAAATACTGCCACTGGAGTGTGAAGTGTTTGGTCTTCACACATTCCGTTGAGGTGGGATGAACAGTTCCCTTCCTTGCTGCCTTCCCTTCCCGGACAATTCTAGAAATAATCCTGTACTCATTTTTATTACGTTGGATCAACAGTTCTCTACCTTGCTGCCTTCCCTACCCAGACAATTCTAGAAATAATCCTGTACTCATTTTTATTAGGTTGGATCAACCACAGTAATGAAGATGTCTTGAAAACTGACTCACAAAGAGAACTGATTGCCCTCATCAGGAGACAATATGTGTTGTTTGGTCGTGATATGAGGAGAAATTGGAGTACATTGTGATGGTGGGAAAGTTGGAGGGAAGAAGAGGCACAGGGAGATCAAAAGAGAAGATGCTGGAGAGTTTGACATCACTGCCTGAAAAATTGTCTGCATCAAAGTGTATCGAAAGTACCGAAGGTTATGTACAGAGATTACAACCAACCGCACATGGCATGGACTATAAGAAGAAGATCCATCACAGAGCCAGGCTCCTCAAAAAAAAATCTCACAAGTTATCAGAACTGAACTTGAATCACTGCCTCAGCAGATAACATATTCAAATAAATACTTTACTGGCCATGTTAACCCTTTCATCCTGGAGACAGAAAAAAAAGCCAAGCTTCCTGACTTTTCATCCTTCAGAAATTCATGAAAACAAAAATCCTAATAAAAACAGTAATTTTACACACACACACACACAATAACGTACACATAAAATTAAAGTATCAGCCAAAATGTGAAAAACTACATAGAGTACGGACAGTAATCATTTAAAAAACAAATGCAGCATAGATTCAACTGGCTTACATCTCTTGGGCACTGTAAACAAATTACAGCATAACACAAACTTGACCCTGTGACCCGATCAGCCAGTAACCACGGTAGCCAAATGGAAAAATATAACATATGAAGTATTTTTTTTTAAAGGAAACCCGCTTAAATACTATTTTTAGTAAATTTAGTCATCCCCTGTCAGTTAAAATTTGTGCAGATGCAATGAATTTTATTAGCTAGACATCTCGTAAACATGTCTCTACAGCGGCTCTTATGGGAAATGGTACCAACCAAAAGCACCAGTTTTGTGGCTTCTAGAGTTAATCGAAAGAGTTTAAGCAGTTACGATCAACACGTACCATCATTAAGCCTGGCCTGGCTACCAGCTTGTGTTGTCTGCAACAACTTGTTCTGGGTGTTCCATGCATTTCTATGCTGCTGAATTTGCTCAATCAAAGCAGTGGCTTGGACATTTTCCCCATGTTTATTTCTGTTGTCATCTGTGTTTTCTTGCAAGTCTTTAAGACAGGGGCGCTTCCTGAGGAAACCTTTAGTCAAGAGAGCAATACTCATATCTATATATATAAAAATCAATGTTTGTGTGTTTGTTTATGACCAATAGACTCGGCAACTACTGAACCGATTCAGCTGAAATTTTCAGAATATGTTTGTTTTGATACTGGATGTTTACCCATCATGGTTTGAAATTCTACCCGTCATTGTTAGAGATAGTGTGCGACAGTTGTTGGGAAAATCTTTGAAACTAATATTTCCATTTTTAGTGACATTTAATTATAGCCACATTAGTAAATGCGCATGTGCGATCGACTTTCACCGTGCATGCGCAGTAGTGACGCTCCATCGTCAACATCCGCCGCGACAAGGAAACAACTGCCTGCGGTATCAATCTAGAAATATCTCAAAAGGTAAGCGCATTTACTTCACTACCATTAGTCAGTATGTAAATTTTTTTTGTCAACTTCAAACATGTGTGGACCACTCCTTAAATCACGCAATGATAAATGTATACACATTATCTGTTGGCTTTCTCATACTGTCTAGCGTACTATTATGATTGTTACATGTTTACATGTCTACATGTTTACATGTCTACACAATTTCGGTTGGCTTTCTTCTGTTATTCAAAAGAATTATATACATTTACATAAAATTCCGTCGCAGGTCAACTGCAGGTAGTCTGAAGAGTGTAGTTAAGTCGATTATTTCAGTCGCAAGACATATATACCACAAATCTTACTGCTACACTGGACACCTATTCATATTGTTTACCAACTATTCCTAATATTTTCGGCACAGTTTCTATGCATTTCCTCTTGAGTTGAAATAGATTGTTATCTCATGCTAATATTTTCATTTATTTAAGCTGGGCACTGGACACCTACCTATTCATATTGTTTACCAAATTTTCTTAATATTTGCTGCACAGTTTCTATGCATTTCCTCTTGAGTTGAAATAAATTGTTATCTCACGCTCATATTTTCATTTATTTAAGCTGGGCACGGGACACCTACCTATTCATATCATTTACCGGCTTTTTAGCATATTTGCTGCGCAGTTTCTATGCATTTCCTCTTGAGTCAAAATAGATTGTTATCTCGTGCTCATATTTTCATTTATTTCAGCGATACTTCAAGTCACATTTCATTCAGTGCGTGAGGACGAACAAGCTATTGACGATCAACGCTCACTAAATTCACACGCTGTTCACCATTTTGTCAAACATTTGCAGTTATGCCTCCCAAACGACAAGCAATTGGCCCATCTACACCTAAAACACGCAAGAGAAGGGCATTAATTGCTTCAGAAACAGACGGGCAACATGAGGTAAGGCTGGAAACCATTCGAGTGCTCACTACTGAAGCCCATTCGTCTCAATCAGACCAGCAACGGACAGCAAGACTAGAAAACGTTTGAGTGCGCACTGCTGAAGCCAGATCGCCTCAGTCAGACGAGCAACGAGAAGCAAGACTGGAAACCAATAGAGTACGCACTGCTCAAGTCGTTTATCAGAAACAATCGAGCAACGGAAAGCAAGACTAGAAAAGGTTCGAGTGCGCACTGCTGAAGCTAGATCATCTCCGTCAGACGAGCAACGAGAAGCAAGATTGGAACCAATAGAGTATGCACTGCTCAAGTCCGTTTATCAGAAACAATCGAGCAACGGAAAGCAAGACTGGAAACCGTTCGAATACGCACTACTTTATCCAGGCGAACACTGCATGTTGATTTGAATCTTGGTGCATTCCATTACAACAGCAATTATGATTACAGTCTTCATCCACAGAAGCTTATTGGCAAAATAGATAAATTGTGCGTACATTGCAGTGCCTTCAAATTTACGAATGAAACACCAGGAATGTGCTGCGCGGGTGGAAAAGTTAAATTGCCAGTATTACATTCACCACCCGAACCCTTATTATAAATGGTAGCAGGTGACACAGGCCAGTCGACACATTTCTTGGCAAACATTCGCAAATACAATTCATGTTTCCAGATGACATAATTCGGTGCAACAAATATTGTGCGCAAGAATTACATGTCAACATTCAAAGTACAAGGCCAGATTTATCGAAGCAAGATTTCTATTTTCTTTCTTTTCAATTTAGCCAAACTATGCCACAGCAACGCGTGGCCGGGTACAGCTTGTACAATTATAAATTTACTCACTGTGAGTAGACATGTACACACACACATGTAAATATAATACACCCACATGTCTACACTCTGAGCTTGTGAAATGAGAATTACTGGCATAATTTTTTTTTATATCTATTGTCTATCTATTGTCTTCTTCACTTTTACCGGGTTGCAGCCCAGTGTCGTGGTTTAAAATATTTGTTTTGTGTCTCTCGCGTGATTTGAGTGACAGTTTTCTGGATCTTCTGGCCGTATTCAGCTACTCCATCTATCCATTTTTTCCTGGGTCTTCCTCTGGCCTTTCTTCCCAATGTTCTACTGTAAAAGGCCTTAGAGGCAATCTGATCCGGTTGCATTCTTACTAAATGGCCAAACCACTTCATTCTCTGTCTTTCAATATGTTCCATGCATGCTCTTGTTCCAACTTTGTCTCTAATGCTGACGTTTGTGACTCTGTCTCTTCGTGTATTGTTGGTGACTCTTCTGAGACATCGCATTTCACACGTAGTTATTTTTTGCATATGTGATTTGTTCATTGTCCACGTTTGGCACTGATAACATAAAGTAGGGATGAAAATGCTGTTGATCATCCGTTGTTTGGCTGGTAACGAGATCTTTGGATGACGAAGAAGTGGGGCCAGTTGGCATTGGCTTTTTGAACTCTAGCCTGTATCTCTTTATCGAGTCTTCCATCTTCTGTAAATATGCATCCTAAGTACTTGAATTCTTGAACTTGTTCTAATTGTATGTCATTGATCTTTATGTTTACATTACTGTGTTTCTTTCCTATGGTCATTACTTCAGTTTTTGAGGTGTTTATTTATGACAACCAAAATATTTTAGCCACATTAAAAGACACTCTTAAAAACCTTACTGGAGGGAAAGGTTGGAGGCAAGGCAGCAAGAGGTAGACAACAATACAAGTGGGAGGACAAAATCAAGAGATGGAAGAACAGCAGTCAGAGAGAGTGTACAACTAGGACAAGAGACAGAGCATGTTGGAGATCGACTGCAGCCAGCCTTCACTGTGAAGACAGCAACCCATTGACTGTTTACATCTGATAGGTAAACTTAAAAAGAAGAAAAAGGCAACTCATTATGTGAAAACACAGACAACATTTACCATGTTTTTTCCTGTATAACCCCCTCTAGGGCCGTAACCTGAAGGTCTGACACCCGTTAGTTCAATAGCCACAGTTCAGCTGCCATTCCAATAGTAACAAATACCCGGTACTCAGTTCAAATATATCATTCCACATGTGGGTTCCGGGACCCCATTACTGGCGAATGTCGTGGAGTGATCAAACACACCCCTACACATTAGACTATTCGTGACATTAACCCCCTAGCGGGCAGGTCACATTTCAAATATAGACCCGACCGGTGGGTATATAGTCCATCATATCTATTTATACCTCTATATGGCGAAAGGTATTTCTATATGTTTGAGGTCTCTTGTGGTCTACATTTTCAAACTTACAGTTGTGGGGTAGATATTTTCTAGATTAATATTCATATTCCAAGAAGCCTTTTCACTCCTCAGCCTATTGATGTGGAAGCTTCTTTCTTTGAAAGTGACGCTAACTTTTCCCCTTTGTGCTTAAATTTTGTCTTGAACAAAGTACCAGTTTAATCTTTGGAGGAATCCTGAGCTTGGGATGATATCTCCTTGGAGGCCAGGCAGTAAATCAGCAGTCCACAAAATTACCAACTACCACACCATCAACATGGCAGACAGCATAGTGGAAGCCAGAGTGTAAGCAGCAGCTTACAGGCCGCCCATTTGTCATTATACCAGAGGACCCTCTTCAGGAGCTTGTTTGGGCTCCAGTGACAGAGGCAGTTGTTACAGGCCACCCATTTGTCATTATACCAGAGTACCTTCTTCAGGAGCTTGTTGGGCTCCAGTGATTGAACTCTGTTTGTGACTGTGTTTACCCAAAGCAACCATTGAGGTAAAGATTTCCAAAAGAGTCAGCCTGCTCAAGTCATCATGAACCGATGAGTGCAGTGACGCCAACCAGGACTAGATAAGTAGCAAGAATCTGTGGTTCGATGCCTTGTTCTCTATTTACAGGTCCACTCTGAGTCACTATGATGAACCCAGACTGACTCTAGGAGTCTCTTCAAAGATCCGTCAATGTTGCTTTGGTTTTGATCTCTCATGATTCCAGTTGTTCTTGAATGTCTTTGCTTGAGTCTTATATGATATACATGTTGCATTGATTACATGTCTTTGGAAGTTTTCATTATTGACTTGAGTGTCCATCATTCACTGTTCAGAACTGTCAAGAATATATGTATGTATAACCAGTAATCTTAATCTGTGTTAACATGGCTATGATAATACATTATCATAGCCTGGGGGCTATTTTCTTGTAGTAGTGGGGACATCCAGCCAAGTTGAGCCTAGGAATATTATATATTCTGTAGTGCCATAGCTTGAGTTGCCCTACTGCTGAAATAGGTTGGGTGTATATTGGCCACAGGATACCCTTTAGACCAATACGAGCCGACACCTCAACATTATACTATTTCAGAGTGCTGTTAGTTCTTAAGGAGAAATCCTTAAACAGGCACGCGACACTAGCGGTATGTGACAGCGAATAGAGGGCATACTCGGACTGCCTTCCTAACAATCATTTCGTAAAGAGCAACTTTTTTTTTTAGGGGAAGTTTCCTTCAAAGTCAGAGTGCATCTGCCTGAGAGGCAAGAAACCAACAGTTTGCATATAAATAAGCCACATGTAAAATACATGTGCATGCATAACTCAAATTATGGAACAAGACCAAAGTCCAGAAGTGGACGAACCATAAGAACTTTCCACTGTAGTTTACAGCTGAAGAACGCTAAGAAGAAAGAACAAAAGAACAAACATCATCATCAGCTAGCAGATTTTTTGTAGAACCTCACTCTTAGGAGGACATGCCACACATACTCACACAAAAGCCAGTCTGTCCTCTGCCAGCTTCGCCGCCTCATGAACTTTCATGCACTGTGTATCACCGACATTCTGTGTCTGCCATCATTCTGGTCATCTGACTTTTCTTCCATGAACTAAAGACTACATTACTGTTTTCTACAAACCATTATGGTGTTTAAAATGATGAAGTTTTTCAGTTTACCAGAAATGATACTGTTTATTAACCATTTGTAACCACATTACAGTTATACTGGAACAACACATAGCTGTAAGAGGTCCTGTTGTGTTGTCTAGGAAAGGGATCACAGCGATGTGAAGCGATGGCAAAAATGACTTCACAAAAATTTCAAAAACATTTGGCCAATTATTAATTAAAATTTGTTAATTTAACAAAGATAATAAAGTTACCTAAAGTTCTCAAGGGATTCAAGTCATCATCCTCATCTTGCTCCAGAATACTCTGCCCTCGTTTGCGAGTGGTGTTCTGGTCAAACTCTACATCAGCAGGAACAGACAATGGAGATGAAGGGAATGATTCCCATTCATCATGAATGTCAGCATTTAACTCCTGCGTAAAACTGTCATTTTTATCCTTTAAGTGTTCTCTTGCAGGTCTATTAGTTTTCCTATTAGGTGTTTCAAACTGGAGAGATCGTTTCGACTTTGGTGGAACATAATTTACAGGTTCTATCAGAGAATCATCTGGGGAAAGAAATATATCTAATTACTATATTAAAAAATTGTAATTCTGTAATGTAGCATTTTAAAAGTGGAGATCAAATCTGACAAAAGATACACTGACTGGAAGCAGATCAGTAGCACAAATCTTTAGTCTGTAGTTCTGATATACCCTGCGGTCAGGAAGAACCATATTGCATCAAAAAGAACCTTTATTCTCTAGAGAGGCCAATTCTATTTTCATTAGCATTAAAGGAAATAAATTTATAATAACCCACTTTCATAAAAGTAAAACTAAAACATGTCATGGTTTCTTCTTGTGATTTTTCTCTGATTTTCACTGACAGATCAGTTCTTGTGATAAAACTGACTGTTCTGTGAAGTTGCCTTTTAGTTCCATATAACTTCTGAGTATCTTCTTCTTCTTCTTCTTCTTTTTTGTTTACCGGTTGTAAGCTCCGGCCAAAAGTCCTGGTTGTTTGTCCATTTGGAGTTTGGCTTTGCGCCAGGGCCTGAGTTCTGCGCGTACATCCGTTTTGCTGGCTTATTTGTGTGCAGTTGATTGTTCCTTGCCACTTGGGCAGATGCACTCTGGGCTTTGCGCCAGGGCCTGAGTTCTGCGCGTACATCCGTTTTGCTGGCTTATTTGTGTGCAGTTGATTGTTCCTTGCCACTTGGGCAGATGCACTCTGACTACGAACGAAGTCCCCAGCTAGCTGACTCCTACGACATGCTTGTTGGAGAGTCATTGGGTGACTTATTGGGCGAGTATTTCCTTCTTAATGGGCTGTCTGAGGGACAGTCTTGCAGGACATGTTCTGCAGTTTGCACACAGCCCACAAGGGCACAATATTGAACTGCTTAGACAAAGCCTGTGCATATGCTTGTTAAGTTTGTTGTGCCCTGTCCTGAAGTGTAGAATGATGACTTGGCTATGCCAGGCAAGTAAGTGGTAGTCATGGTTGGCATTATTATGTACATTCTGATAGTGGTTTTAATAATGATTTTCAAAAAGGTTTCATATCCTCTACTACATATAGCAAATCAAACCTCTAGTCTTTCAGACAAATTCATTCAGAGTTCGAATAACACATCCCTAGTCGACTTTTAGTTACAACATGCTTGCGGTGGGGGGGGGGGGGGTGCAGTGTGTATATAATAAACTGTATATCATATTCTCAGTCCCGCAGCCCACAAGGAGAGAGAGAGAGAGAGAGAGAGAGAGAGAGAGAGAGAGAGAGAGAGAGAAGGTTTATGTTCATTTGGAGATGAGTTAAGAATCATATCATAAATCACTGCATTCCTGTTGACACTGCTACCATTAATTGTGAGGCTTGAAATATCAGTTCGAACAAATAACAATCCTTTTGCCAGGAGAGCACAAAAACATCCATAACAAACATAATGACTGACGAACAGATAAACTACCTAATACCTCCAGTTCGTCAGCATATTCAAGTTCAAAAGAATCATCCATGTTGGATCTTTTTCTTAATAAGTAAATGAATACCACAAACAATAACTTAAATCCCGAGAATGCCTATAAAGTATATTGTAAGAGAGGTTCATTCATTGCGGTGCTAAGTACTGCTCACAGGGACCTCTTGTTGTTCCCGCCGTGTTTTTCTTCAATTGATTTGGCCAGGATTCTGTCAGAAGTTTCTTCTATTTATTATTAACAATAGCTATCTTTTAACGTGTATAATAAGTAAAATTTGTGCTAAAGTGTCGTTATTTTCAATTTATAATATTATTGTTTTAAAAAAATATTATATTACTCTTTTGTTTAAAACTATGTGGCTCATTAAGCTAAAAGAATATTACTACTCAAAAGCATATGGCAATATGGCAATATTTCAGTAGTCTTTTTTTTACGTTACTGAAAATCTACATAAATGGCTATGTTTGCAGAGTGGTGTAATAAAATAATTCAAGCTTGTGACCCGTGTCAAACTCAATTTTTTTTCTCTTTTTGTTGTTTCAAAGCCCCACTCTGGCAGTTGCCAGGGGTCCTAAAATAACCCAACCTATGGGTTGAACGGGGTTCCTGGGACCTGTCCCAGGGTGATCCTCATCCGAATGGTGGCACCTTGTGTTATCCAGTGTTGATCGCTCGGTGTGATGTCCTGGTGGGGTTGAACGTCATCATCGAAGCAGAGTGAGTCAGTGACGTTTAACAGCACAAGAGCGACTAACACCAGGTGACACAAAGTGCCACTATTCGGATAATAATCTCCCAGTTGCAACCTCGAGGCTATATTTGGGCCCCCGACGACAATTACGAAGTAACCTGAAGTCTAGCCGGGGTCTGGGAAAAGCTGGAGCGACAGTCCCCTACTCAGCGCGTCCACTGGTGGGAGATTGTGGAACGGCCTCCATACCCACCCACCAGGTACGGGGCATGGATGTGAATAATCAATAGGCAACCGCAGACCAACTGGCTGTGGATATAGGCTAGAGGGCGAAGCGGGACTACAGGTGGGAAATGTAGTCAGAAAATACTTCATGTGCTCGGATACGTGGGTACCAAGCGATTGAGGCACTTTAACCTCTATTTCCGGTTTGAGAGAAACCGTCAGTTAGAAAGGAAGTCTGTCTAGGAGATGGAACACTCCGAATATAAACCCCCAAGTTTGAGGTGGGCCAACGTCCTGAGGCACTGAGTGGCCACGGGTAGGTTGGTCACAAACGTTTGAGATCACAGCTGTTGAGAGTCACATTGATATTTTGCCAAGGCCATTCAGGTGTGTTTGGGAATTAGCAGCCAGATAGGTTGACCGGAATGGTCCCATCTGCAAAATGCGGAGATGATCTCAAACATGTGGGATAGGGTAACAGGTAAAACGGAAGATACTGAAAATCCATATCTGGAGAGAATTATACAGCGAGTAGTAGCTCTATGCATCGGTCGCCACTCACAATTCGGGGAAAGGCAAGAGAAGTAGTCAACCAGACGGCAACGAGTGCATCACTATGGAAATTCTTCGCAGGAGTGAGACAGAACTAATATTGGCTTGTCCTAAATGCTGTGATGTCAAACCCAGCTATTTTAAATATATATAAAAATGTGTCCCATTTTACGACGAATAGTTTGATAGCCAGATAGAAGTGCATGAGGTTCATGGCAAAAGGCAGTGGGAGTCGTTTAGTGGAACAAAGTCTTGTATACAACACCACAACATATAGTTTGAGAATGGAGGTGGAGGCAGTAACTACAGCCTTTCATTAACTTGAGAATCAGCTGTACATACATGTTGTAATTATAACTGACTCATAAAGCATGTTGATAAAGGTGGACACCGGTGTGCTTCGTGAAGAGTGGCAGATATCGCTTCTGAAGTCTTAGGTACTCAGCGTCCTTTGGGCATTTTCCCCTAGGAAATGAAAGCAAGCAGATAGACTGGCTGGTTCTGCACAACTTTGTGGTTAATTGATACATTTGATGCTAAATAATGTAAGTGCCGTTTGTGAGCAAGTGAACAGTCTGAAAGCACAGATGGATCATCATGGTCTGAAGAGAATGGTATTGTAAGGAGTGACCAGGGGATGGGGTCGACGATCAGCACTCAAGGGAAAGGTGTGACGGATATACAGACTGCTATTTGTACCACTTGAATTGGAACTCTGTGCTTGCTGTTGAAGATGGGGACGCAGCGTATATGGGAAATCCCGAGTGTTGTGACGTCGATTCTTCCTTAAACATTAGGTTATCATCATCATGTGCCGTGCCAGTAAGCGTATGCTGTCATGTTTCGCCATCTCACACGTTTACCAGACTCACGGATCAGTTCAATGTTTTGTCTCACGCCCTCTATCTGGCTGAGCCATCCAGATATTTTTTTATTGCCTCCATCTTGCCCTCTTTGCACCAATCTTGCCAGTTGTTGCCAAGCTCTCGGGTCCATTCTTTTTCATAATATCTCTGGAGAAAAATATTGACTGCCTACGTCTAACTGTTCTAATAAGTTTACGACTCTCATCTGTCTCGACGAGGACCGCTTTAGGTGCATCGGACATAAAGTGCTAGACCTATACTTTTATCACACTCTATGGGGGATGTGATCAATATAACGCCGGACGCATTTACTTCCTAGATATTGGCTGGTAACTATTTTAGGCTGGCTAAGCCTTGACGTCAAGATCACTTTTTTTTTAAAAAAGAATTAATACCATGCGAACGAGAGCCTTAGACCTTTCGCCTGGCAGGTGAGCGTGTAGAAGCTACCCGGACACGGCTCCCAGAGGATGCATTTTGATTTGTGAGATTGATCCTCTGTGCATCATGTATTTCTGATCCTCTGTGCATTATGTAATACAGATCCTATGTGCAATATGTAATACACATCCTCTGTGCATCATGTGATACTGATTCTCTGTGCATTTTATAATACAGATCCTCTGTGCATCATGTAATACAGATCCTCTGTGCATCATGTAATACTGATCCACTGTGCATCGTGTAATACAGATCCTCTGTGCATCATGTAATACAGATCCTCTGTGCATCATGTAATACAGATCCTCTGTGCATCATGTAATACTGATCCTATGTGCATCATGTAATACAGATCCTCTGTGCATTATGTAATACAGATCCTATGTGCAATATGTAATACACATCCTCTGTGCATCATGTGATACTGATTCTCTGTGCATTTTATAATACAGATCCTCTGTGCATCATGTAATACAGATCCTATGTGCATCATGTAATACAGATCCTCTGTGCATCATGTAATACTGATCCTATATGCATCATGTAATACAGATCCTATGTGCATCATGTAATACAGATCCTCTGTGCATCATGTAATACTGATCCTCTGAGCATCATGTAATACTGATCCTCTGTTCATCATGTAATACAGATCCCCTGTGCATCATGTAATACAGATCCTCTGTGCATCATATAATACAGATCCCCTTTGCATTATGTAATACAGATCCCTTATGCATCATGTTTTGCTCTTGTTGTGTGCGTGAGGGCGTTCGTGTGCGTCATAAAGCTACCCAATAATGATTTTGTTATGCCATTTAGTTCTTTGTATTCCTTATAGGTACCAGACACTGAATATTTGTAGTTAATTAGTAATCGGCTTAGTTGTTTTCTGCGTGTCTCTCCAGGACGACAGTAATAATTTAGAGTTTACTACTGTTTACGCGACTAGGTTCAATTTCTTTTAATTTCTACTTTCCTTGTGGCATGATAGCATAAAAGGAGGTAGAGGTAGAGAGAGGTAGAGAGAGAGAGAGAGAGAGAGAGAGAGAGAGAGAGAGAGAGAGAGAGAGAGAGAGAGAGAGAGAGAGAGAGAGAGAGAGAGAGAGAGAGACAACATGCGATGATCAGTCGCTTTTTCCTTCTTTTTTTTCGTTCGCTTGAAATAAATTATCTATATCTGTAATGTTGTCTCTAGTAAGAACTTCACTGCTTTTTGTAATTCACTCAGTGGCCCGAAAAGTCTGGCTTCCGTCAGGGTCTTTCTTGGCCACAAGTTATGCCTGAAAAGGTCGTATTTGGGACAGTCTAGGAGGACGTGATCTGTTTTCTCAGGTGAGAAAACCAGTCCACATGGCTGATTCGCCCGTTTTAAATGTTACCCAGGATTACATGTGGCTGCGAAGTCGATTGCATCCCGTTCTAAGACATAGTATAATGACTTGCTCTGATCTGTCCATAATATGGTAATCGTCTTGTATCAGTTTTTGTGGCTTTCTGATTGATTTTATTACTCTCTTCTTCTATTGATAAGAGACTGGTGCGTTAGGTTTTCTTCAGTTACACCTTCGTTGGCTATTTTAGCAGCTCTTTCATTACCGGCAACTGCAGAGTGTGACGGTATCCTTTGCATAGCTACCTTACACTGATTGCCTAGTTCAGAGAGTAGTGTCTAGTGTCTGTATACCTGGTAATTTTCTAGACTGAAGTACCCGAAGTACCGCTTTTCATCTGTCAGGAATATGACTGGTTGTGATATATACCCGGTATTTAGCAGTTTGCTGCTATCTTGAACTACTGCATCGTAGTTGTGACAGTGCTTTCCTGTCCGGGTCGGTCACTTTTGCAGCAATAGGGGAAAAAATCCAGACAACAAACAAAGATAGAGATCTTCTTTCTGTCCTTTAACCCTGTTTAGACATAGGCTCTCTTAATGTAGTCAATGATCAACAAGAATAATACAAAGTATTAAAGATACTCCACCTTCACTCCTCTTATTTTAAACGCACCTATTAGTTTGTCTACATCTTCTTCTTAGCATTCACCAGCTGTAACCTCCAGCGCAAAGTTCTGTTTGTACACCACTTATTAGTTGCCTATTACGACATGCTTGTAAGATGAGTAAGTTTACTCCATTAAAAAAAAAAAAAGAATGGGGCCCTGGAATCCACATGGGCATTTTTCCTTCATGAATGAGAACTCTGCCTGGCTGCTGAAGATGGGAAAGAAGTGATTGCAGAAATGTCCCGAGTGCTGTGTTG